CCCCCAAACCATAAACCGTGGGCCCACTCTAACTTTCTGACGGATCACTCTTTGGCCCTGCATAAAAGGAGGCCATCGCGTCTCATAGGTCTGATGGGCTATCGATAGGCCAGGGTCAAGGGAAGGGCCTTCGGGGCTGGGTCTGGCTGTTCAGTGCTTAGGGCTTAGGCTTATGGTAGGGTTTTGGGTTCAGGCTGATGGTAGGGTTTAGGCTTAGGGTAATGGTGGTTTCGAAGTTTCATCCGGTGTTGACCTTCGGTTGTTTCGCATGGACAAGTCCGACTGCAAGTTGCGTGTGGGAGTTGGGCTTCTCAGGAGTCAGCTTCGTAAGGAACTGCCCATCATCGGCTTCCAAGCAACTCGACTCAGAAGTCAAAACTCTTGGTTGGCTTGTGGGGTACGGAGATGGTGCCGGCTTCTGCATGTGCTTCATGACAGGCCGCCCCCCTGCAGCATGAAATGGCGACGTCAAACACTAAATGCTAAACCCCATGCCCTTGTTTGAACACAGACTCTGGCGATCAGCTGGGAAGCACTGCAAGCCCCATGCCCTAAACCCCAAACCCACCGCTCCCAAAGCTACCTCTGCAAAGAGAGCAACAGCCACGAATTCCGGCTCTGGGCTACGATCCATCGCGCTGAGGCATTTTAGGATTCAGGTTCGCGGACTCGGGTTTCGGGCTTGAGGCTTAGAGGGCTTAGAGTTGATAGGGTTTAGACTGCCGCAGGGCTTACAGGGACATGACTGTAGGTTCGGAGCCTAGGTTACTGGAGTTTAGAGTTTATAGGATCGACGCAGACCACACTTTATGGCTTAGGTTTCTGGGGTTTAGAGTTTCTAGGATTGACACAGATTACACTTTATGGCTTTGGGCTTGAAGCTTACTGTTTTACAGAGCTCAGCTTGGGGCTGACACAGTAGGGTTTAGAGTTCAGGATTCGGGGGGTCGGGGTTTAGGGCTCGCCAGGATTCGGCCTGAATGACTGTAATCAGATTTTGCAGCATATTCGGCTACAATAGCTTTGAAAGAAACCGGAAGGAATACGATTGGTACTTCAGACCTCTATACTACAAGATATTAAAAGGTCAGCCCACCACGACAGAGCGGAATCTATGCAATCCGAATCGGGGAGGGCATGTGAAACGATAAAATTGAAGCCCTTTCTTGCTGCTGGACTCAAGTCAGGACTCAAGTCTAGCGAGACAACAACCTGCAAGCATCTAGTCAGAACATTATATATAAGTTAGGTGTAAGGAATAGTACCGATAAGTATCCAAATGAGTATCGGCGACAGTATCGAATAACAAAATGTTGACAAGGAGTCCTCAGGAACAGAAAAGTATCGATAACTGTTCGGGCTTCTGTACACAAGCAGAGACCGCGCAAATCTGAAAGCTCACTTTTCCATCGCAAGTTCTTTGGCGATCCCAGATCCAACTGCAGCCGGCGAAAGGCCCCACTCCTGGATTTTTTGTCGTCGTCGTCGACGTGAAGCCTTGGAAGGAGCATGCAGCGAGCTTTGCTAGCACCGATCAGAAGGGAGCAGAGAAAGCCAAAGATTATTAACGTGAAACTAGACGCCGCGGCACGAAGCCGAAGTTACAGGGGCAGCATGCACGATGTAGGTGATCTTTAGATTGAGCATTAGGAGAGCCGAAGCTTCACTCGGCGATGCAGGGCCACACAGCGAATCTCTCGGGACTGAAAAACCAGAGCTCCTTGGTTCAGTGTCGAAGGTCTACCCCGAAAAGGTTGGTTTAAAACATACAAGCGTCGAAGAGAGCTCATAGGGTCATAGGGTACGGTATAAGTCTGTATAAGCACTGTGCCAACCTGACAGGCGAGGCGAGGTCCTGTAAACCTGGCATCTGACACAGCTCTCAGATGCTCTCAGCACCTGGCCTCCGCCGCTTCCATGAAGGCCTCCGAAAATAGGCCTAAAGACGCTTTTGAGCAAAACGACGTCCACAGTTTTCACATGGCGGGGTTCCTGGATGCGACCTCAGAGCCTTCCAAAACCCATAAGGAGGTCTGGTTCTCTGCTGAAGCACAGATGCTGCACCGGGCAACGGGGCCTCAAGTGTAAAGGGCAAGTGCCTCCAAAGAGGTGATACTGCAAAGATGCAGCTGGACTAAATGATGCCATGTTTATAAGATTTCATGGTCAAGACTGACCACCGACGGGTTGATGCCGGCGTGGAAGTGCAATCAACCCTCGAAGCCTGCACATCTGTCCGCCCGGTGCCCACCCATCCCTCCATCCCTCCATCCATGAATGCCATCCATCCATCACACCCCGCTTCAACTCACGACTCTCCAAGACTCCAAGAGCTCTTGTCTGCTCTCGCCACTTCTGGTCACCAATTGACCAAAACGAGAAGACATCAAGAGTCTACAAAGTCTGCAGCCGAAGCACCTGGAATCACCCCAAGCTCGGAATAAAGAGTCTAGGAGTCTACAACAACACAACAACAGAAGCATTCTGCAATAACAAACTTGAAACAAGGCCCCCTCCCTCCAGCCTCTTCGGGCGCGCGCTCGCGTGCATGTGCCAGGAGAGTCCCTGAAGGCGCAACTTGGAGCCCTCAGACGCGTCTGCTCTCTTCTCTCTACCCGGGCGGCCCAAAAGCCCTGGGAAGCGCTTTTTTCTGCAGAAGTCGCTCGGCGAGCTTAGCGTGGCTGCTCTTCTCTGCTTCTGCAGCCGCTTCCTGAAGCTGCTCCGGGGGGAACATGGCAGCTCTCAGCAGAAGCTCCACGCAAGAGGCGTGGCCAAAGTGTGCTGCCACCAGCAGCGGGAAATGGCCCCTCTGCGAATTCACCTGTGCAGCCTCGGCTCCAGCTTTCAGGAGCAGCTCCACGCAAGAGGCGTGGCCAAAGTGTGCTGCCATCAGCAGCGGGAAACCGCCGTTCCGCGAATTCACCTGACAAGCCTCGGCTCCCGCTTTCAGGAGCAGCTCCACGCAAGATGCATGGCCATTCTGTGCTGCCATCAGCAGCGGGAAAGCGCCGTCCTGCGGATCCACCTGACCAGCATCGGCTCCCGCTTTCAGGAGCAGCTCCACGCAAGATGCATGCCCATTCTGGGCTGCCATCAGCAGCGGGAAAGTGCCGTTCTCCGAATTCACCTGTGCAGCCTCGGCTCCCGCTTTCAGGAGCAGCTCCACGCAAGATGCGTGGCCCTCCTGTGCTGCCATCAGCAGCGGGAAAGCGCCGTCCTGCGGATCCACCTGACCAGCCTCGGCTCCTGCTGTCAGGAGCAGCTCCACGCAAGATGCATGGCCATTCTGTGCTGCCAGCAGCAGCGGGAAACCGCCGGCCTGCGAATGCACCTGTGCAGCCTCGGCTCCTGCTTTCAGGAGCAGCTCCACGCAAGAGGCATGGCCCTTCTGGGCTGCCATCACCAGCGGGAAAGCGCCGTCCTCCGAATTCACCTGTGCAGCCTCGGCTCCTCCTTTCAGGAGCAGCTCCACGCAAGAGGCATGGCCACTCTCTGCTGCCATCAGCAGCGGGAAACTGCCGCTCTTCGAGTGCACCTGTGCAGCCTCGGCTCCCGCTTTCAGGAGCAGCTCCACGCAAGAAGCATGCCCATTCTGGGCTGCAAGGAGCAGCGGGAAGGTCCCGCTCCGCGGATTGATCGCATTGGCGTCGACTCCGGCGACCAGCAAAACTTCCACGCAGGGGGCCTGGCCCTCCCGCGCAGCAAGTCGCAGCGCGTCGGCAGCGGCCTCGGACTCGGCGGAAAAAACCTCGCGAAGCAGCGCCTGCAGAGCGCGAGCCGCTCCCAACTTGGCTGCGATTACGAGGGAGCTAAAACCGTTCACCGAAACTGCTCGGAGCTCGACCAGCGGGCAGCCGGGCTCCGCGGCCTCGCCCTGCAGAAAGGATCGAATTCCTGCGGGGAGCTCCCGGAGGCCTCGGGCTTCCGGGCCCTCCTCCAGGCGGGGGTGCAAGCGAATTTCGAGAGCCACTTTCTCCTGGAAGGCGGCCGGAACTTTGTCCAGCTCGACGCTGAGAAGCTGGCGATTCTTGAAGAGATCGCCGAGAGCATTTTGGACAGTTACAGTCACAGTTACACCATCAACAGTCCCCGCAAACTTCTCCAAGAACGCCAATTCCATGCGCAGGCGGCGCAGGGTCGCGGACTCGCGCGCCGCGAGGCAGAGGGAGGTGAAACCGTCCAGGGACAGCTCCTCAGCTCTATACATTCCGCCGGCAGCACGACAAGGAAGCCCGCGAAAACACAAAAAAAACACACTAATATAGTACTCCAGACTCCAGACCCCCACTAAAATCGTGTTGGAGCCGCGATTCCGACAAGTCCTGCGAGATCTCCACTTTGGCTCGCTGACGAAGCTCCTGGAGCGAGAGCAAAGTCTCTTTCAGCAGCATCTCAACAGATCGAGTGTTTCACTTCCGGCATCCTGCAGGAGATGCGAAGGCGCCAGGCCTCGCAGCCGAAACGGTCACTGGACTCACGGGACATGCAGACCCCAATTGCTCGCCGATCCTCGCCACGACGAGGCCCCGGCCTCCGCCGCCAACAAGCATGGCCTGGAAGAACTGCCATCTGCTGCCGTGGGTCTGCAACCTGGCAAAGCCTGCAATGGAGTGTCAGAGCAGCAGCATATGACAGATAAACAAGGCTGCACGCGTCTCCATTACATGATGGGCTGCCAAGCAGGTCTCCAAGCACTTCAGGCGAGGGGCTCGAGAGCTTCGTCCAGCCGTTCACAGATGCCCGGGCGCTGGAAGCCAGGCTCACCTCACAGATTCGTGCGAAGCGCATTGCTCGGTCGAGGTCTCGGCAACAGATCACAGCATTCCAAAAACTGGCAAGGCCGCAGAATGAACCCCAAAGGGAGAGTCGCAAAGGAAGTGGACGAGATGGAAATGTCAGATCATGAGGAGATGATTCGACGCACTTCCACAGGCACAAGCCTTGCAACGGACATATTTAAAGGAGGCTCAGCGACTCCTGCAATCCGGGCAAGCTTATGACTAGATTCCTCTGCGAGGCTTCGGCATTGATGAATTATGAGACCCAGCCCGGAGATCGCCATGTCTCGAGAGAACAACGCTAGCTGTGCCTCCACCCCCTTCCTTCTGCTGAACACTTCTGCGAGCGATGTGGCCTTCTTCAGCTCGCAACATGCTACGCTCCCACTGTTGCGGCCGAAGGGCAGCTAGCAGCGCCGGATTCACGGACGTGTTCTCCAAGGCCGGGAACACGTTGAAGAAGTTCTCCTTGGACAAGTGTGGGTCAAGGTGGAGCTGTAGAAATGCACAGATGCGAAATGCCGCAGCCCCGGCACCTGGCGGAAGAAGATGTAGCCCTGTAGCGCAGTCTGCAGGTTGGCCTCCAGGAAAACCTCGGCGTCTCCCGGCACGCGCTGCTTCCTGCTACCCGCCCAACCCCTTCGCTGCACTCTGTCGGTGCCGAGGCCATGGCTTCCAGAAGCTGCCGCAGGGTCCAATAGTGGAACAGCCTGGCAGCAGATCCCAAAAACATCCCGTGGCAAGATTAACTACAACGTGTGTGCACTTCGGCCCTCTTCGAACTGCGCAATCCACGTGCCAATGCTTGTTTGAAGGCCTCGTCGATGCCGGCTCCCAGGCGATGTTCTGAAATACGACGGTGAAGTCGATGAAAACCTGCAGCGCCCAAGAGGTGCAAGCCTGCTACTTCGCGAGAAGGCGGAGCTTGCGTGCGGCCGCCGCCGCAGATCGAAGGCGCGGGGGGGTCGGGACGAACGTTCTCTGCCCAGGCGCGAAGGAGAGAGGCAAGGCGAGCCAACAGCATGGAGCACACGGCAACTCAGCGCAGCAGGCCCAGGTAGATGGGAAGAGCTGGGCCAGGAGCTCCCGCACGCCGCCGACGCCCAGCAGGCAGCTGAGGGCCAGGTACGGGAAGGACAGGATGCCGGCAGTGATCGAGGCCCACCAGGGGTGGTGCTCAAGCAAGGCGATTGCCACGAGCACGTCGGAGACTATGTCCCAGACGAAAAAAGCTCGTTCCATGAACACCTGCCGTCGACCGCCACTGCAGACCGTGCAACCAATTCTCGTCTAGTCATATGCTAGCTGCACATGGCGCCTGGAGGGTGATGACCACGGGTGTGGAGAGGGCCTCCGCCTTCCTCGACTGGAAGCCTTTGGCCTGGGCCGCCAGCCACTCCTTGCAGCAAAAACGTACGGAGACAAGCACGGAGACAAGCAGAGAGGTGGTCCTCCACGTTGGAGAGAGGATCCATCCTCCAAGTATCCACTTTCCCCATGCGGAGGTCCGCTTCATGGACCTCCTGCCGCCTTTCGCATCCGAACCATCTTTAACAACCGAAACATCGCAGCCCAAGGCTGAGCTCCGGGCAGGAGGTGCTTCAGGGAGGTGAAAAGCAGCGACGCGATGGCCGCCAGGGCCAGACACGCCACCGCAAGGCAGGCAACGAAGGCCGCCAGGGCAGGAAGCCCGCCATCCTCTGCACAAAAGAGCCCGTCTAGAAAGATGTCGAGAAGGTGCCCGTGGTTGAAGGGTTTCAAAGGGGATCCTACATGGTGGATTTTTGTTTTAGTCCAGAGAGAGAGAGAGAGAGAGAGAGAGAGAGAGAGAGAGAGAGAGAGAGAAAGAAGAGGGGAGAGAGAGAGAGAGACAGACAGAGAAGAAGAAGAAGAAGCAGAAGAGAGAAAAAGAGAAAGAAGGCCGCCAGAGCAGCAAGGCCACCGTGCTCTGCGCAAAGCGCCCCTCACAACAAATGACGCCGTCCCCCCCTGCCTGCTCTTTCCGGAAAACTTCGAGAGCCAGCCCTGCGCCCAGCGCGGCCCAGAAACAGGCGATGCCCAAGGCTGCGTAGGAGAAAGCCTGAGGCCGTGGCACAGCACTCGCAGCTCCAGCAGGCTTCAGTTCGGGTTCGGGTTCGGTGTTGTTTCGCGAATTACTCGTATCTACTCTGCCGCCGGGCAGCGGCAAGGGCAACAGCCTTGAGGCGGGCGCTGGTACTTCCAGGCTGCTGGAGGCTCGCATCGCCGTCTGAGTCGCTTGGCAGGAGGGAGAAGCGGCCCTCGCAGGCATCGTGAATCGGCGATGCTGCACATGAGGCAGGCGCATGCGGACAAGATCGCTTCAATAAACCTGCTCGCTTCTTCAAAATTCTTGAGGGCTGTCGCAGGCTTCCAATGCTGAATGGCAGGCTTCCAGTCCTGGGCCGCGGGCATCACCTCTATCTCCCGGCTGGCCCGGCTGCACTGAAGTTGTGGCAAGCCAAATTCTGGTGGAACCCATGTGTAGCACCTGGCAGCATTCATGCACTGTCGGGGAAGATGGGAAAGAGGCATAGGGCAAAGGACGGAGCCTCTGGTGGCAGCGGCCCCAGGCAAGCAGCAGCACCACGAGGAGCAGGCTCAGCGCCACAATGGCAGCCCACCTTTCAGAAGCTTCTCAGGGGGCGCTGCTGCTGCTTCGTTTCTGCCGCTTGCGATTCTGTGCTAGCCGAGGAGCTGGGCAACTCCCAGGACGCGTGGGCTCGCAAAGTCCGACTCCTCGCCGCTGAGCGCCGCGATGACGGCGCCACGAAAGCCTCAGGAAGCGGGCAGCGCCCGGCACACGGCGCCCAGGCATTGCAGCATGTCCATTCAGCAGGCCGCTTTGAAGCTGGCCGAGCTGCTCGTGTCCAAGGTCACGGCCTGCCGGTGCCAAGTCTCCCGCCCAACACTACAGCATACTCCTCACCGAGACGCCGCCCCACAGAAACTCAAGGTGTCTTTTATTTCAAAGACTGTTTCAGGAAGGGATATCACGAGGTCAGGCAGGTTGAACAGGAATGAGAGAGCAAACCTCTCTCGGCTGAGAACGAACAGCGCTGGCATCGGTGCCTCGCTGAGGTGCTTTGCCATGGGCACGGGAAGACCGTCTCGGAACCGCACGGAACCTGAGCGAAAAATGCCAAGAGCAGCTCTGCGGCATTCTGCGGCCCATCCATCAGCCTCCAAGACTTGCGAGGCGGTCGCACTGAGGGTGAGGCCGGCACTTCAGGAGGCTGCCGACTTTGCAGCGGCCGGGAAAACCGTTAGAGGGGCCGAGAAACGAAAGAAAGCACGATCGCTTTGAAGTGACTTCTGGCTGGCTGCATGTGAACTATAGACTGCTGTGGCTCTGTGCGAAAATCTCTACGATCTGTCAAGCATGGCTTTTGCTTCTCGAGCCCGCCGCTCTCGTCGGGCAAGATTGCTGAAAATGAGCTTGCCCGCTACTGCACAAGGCATCCCCCTAAAGCACTCTTCAGAGTCGTGGGCCTCTGATGCGTCCTTGGCCTAGAGCACGTCAGAATCCTCAGTCGTTCCTGCCACAGCCAAGCTCCCGGCTTGGTGTTTAGGGCTTGGGGTTTTGGGCTTCGCGTCGAAGGTTTAAGGATCAAGCAGACCGTCAGACCCCCGACTACTAAACCCACTTTCTTAAAGGGCCTTTATTAGCACGATCTGCTTCAACATCCTATTGATGAAGGGGAGGTTCATACTCAGCGTTGGGACCTTGTTGTTGCCTACACAACCAAAAGCGAGATTGCGGGGATACCAGACTGCTGATTCGTAAAGCATCCGTCACGGAGCCATGCGTTTAGCCCACACTACGAAGAGACGCTCCTCCTCTCAAATTCATGCTCAGGAGCAGAGCTCAACTTCCCACTTACCCTGTAAGCCCCAGAATATCCCAAAACGTAACCCCACCGTCACTCAAGAAGTTCATAGTATATAATGCGGGAATTTCCGAAAATAGGGGACCCTAATATACTACCTGAAATAGTAGGACCTTATTATAAGGACCCCAGCATGAGGTACCCCTAATTTTCGGGAAACTCCCCTTTTATACCTCCGAAACCTCCCCCCTACTACCAGCTCTAGAGCCAAAGCCCTTCATAAACCTAAACCTCGGAAGCCGTAGCAAGAATATAGAGCCCTTTGAAGGTGTTTTTTCTTTTTTTTATCGGGGTTCGTTTTTTCGAAATATAGAGCCCTTTAGGGTTTATTACACAATATGAAATAAAGCATCCATGAGAGGCACTACAAAGGGTCAGCAGAATGGCTACTGTAAGTGTTCTGCATGCTCCTACTACAGGGGGGCGGCCCGAATGATTAGACTGGTGTTGCGCGCGGCTTTGCACGATAAGTATATGTACAAAGGTACCCTGACGAATTAATGCCACTAAGCATTTAGACTCCGGTATAAGACACCGTGAAGAATAACGCCACCAATCATTCAAACCCCGATATTCGGCTCAAGAATCCTGAAGGACCGAAACTTCGACGCCGGAGAAAGAACCCTCCAGCATGACAGGAGCTCAGTACAGGGACGTTCATAATTTCATGTAGGTTTGAGTATACAACACTACTAGCTACTAGAAGGCGATTATGGGGAGGTGGCACTAAGTTTTTTCGACCTCTATTTCCTATAAAACGCATCAAACTTCATCAAACCCTATAAGAGCCCCAAGACAAGCCCGAGAAAACCCTTGGACAACCCAGCGGAACATATATGAATACCAAAGAAGTGCACCTGGCGGCTCAGACCACCGGATCCCGGCCTCAGCCCAGCAAGGTGGAAATGTCAGGTTCAAGTTTAGGGATGTAGGGTTTGGGGTTTCGGGTTCTGGTCTGGAATTCAGGGCTTCGGGTTATGGAGTTGCGGTGTGGGGTTTACGGATTCGAGCTTTATGGAGGTTCCAGCACTATTCAGCATTCACAACTAGGCACAGCCGGGCAAGGTTGCCGGTACACGAGCGAACCTGGCACCCACTTCCTGGTAACCTTTGCCAATTTCTGTTTTGGTGTTTACGATTACACTTACAAGGGCTTGATAGAGTCGAGCTTTGCAAACGCCTTAGCTCACAAAATGAGGGATTCTCTTAGAAAGGATCTATAGAGTGTAAAGGGGCCCTTCCCTCGTCAATAAGACTCCCAAGACCCTGCACCCATCTGTCCTCTTTTGGTTGAGCGATCCAGCAGTGCCGCGGCGTTCTTCCATCGGAGCAGATTTTAGCCCAGGGTGTTCGGCTGCCGGGTTCGGGTCTCGATTCAGGAGGTTCTGCGAAGCTTACGGGGAATTTAGGGTCCTTCATAGTTAGAATAGAGTTCTAGGGCCCATTATACTAAACCCTCAATCCCGAACCCGACACGTTGGGATCTGCTTCCCGGTGCCCTTTTTTTGATGGCGCTGGTGGCTCCTCGGGCCTGTCAGCAACCTTCCGTCGGGCCTTTTGCGGTTCCTTCAAAAACTCTTGCCAAGATTCCGTTGCGGCTTCCTCGAAGGGTTCTGTGGAGGGTTCATTCGTGAATATTTCTACGCGCTTCTTTTAAGGGTCCTGCCAAGCGTTCCGCATCAAGGTTCTATGTTTGGCCTAGGGCTTCGGAGATCGAGGGTTCAGGGTTGAAGAGTGGTCGCGGTTCGAAAGGGTATCTGGGGTTGAGGCTCAGCGGTTCTAGAGGTTCAGGGTTTAGTTCAAGGTGTGTGGTAAAGGGCATTTGGCATCTGGGCTCAAGGTTTGAGGGTTTCGGGCTCGGGGCTTGCGGTGTAGGATTTCCGGACCTCCCGGCACATCCAGCCGACAAGTGCGGCTTCTTCCAATGATGGGCCTAAGGTATCAACTTGCTTTCGGAATGCAGCTTATGAAAATGGGATACCCAAAAGAGCCGATAGAGCCCTCATAGTAATCCTAACCCCTGAACCCTCAACAAGGCCCAAGTCCAGGTCCTGCAAGCCTATCAAGGCAAGCTGCTGAGCCTGAATCTGTCTCGGCGAGCTCTGCGGAAAACAGTCTAGGATTTACACTCTCGCAACTCGGACAGTTTAGAATTTTGGGTTTGGGGCTTTAGGGGTTTAGGGCTTCAGGTCGGCAAGAACCGTTAAAGAAGACTGGGAACCACAACGGGGATACTCATCAAAGTCAGCAGCTACAACTCCAAACACCCCGATGGCCCCGATGTGGAGCCATGAACCACAACCCTAATATGCATTATGCTTGAGGGACCCCTAAAGATGGCAAATGGAGCTTGCAAGTGCGGCTTCTCGAGGATACTTGGTTTGGAGCCGACCTTTGCACTCTGTATGCCCCGCCGTACATCACATGGCCTCACCAGCACTCACTAGCGCTCGGCAGTACAAGCTTTGGAGAGCGCTGCTAAACTGCACGATTGCTCACAAGTGCTCAAAAAAATATTGCCCCTTTTTCCTTAAACCCTAGCAGTTCATTTGGCCACGTCTTACCTGTGCCTTTCGGCTTTGGGCTTGGCACTGTAGGGTGCAGAGGTATAATGTTTTAGATCCTGGAGGTGTACATGGTCTGGAGCGGAGATTTCTGGTTTAGGGCGTATAGGGCTTACACATTGGTTTAAACGGATTTTCTCCCTCCAAAGGTTCAGGGCTTATGGTTGAAGGGGAGTACAGTTGTGTAAGATGTGGTGCTTTCCAGACTCCTTTCCTGCTCCGCAGGCTGCCCAGATTCCCGGACGGGGGCAGCTTGTCAATGAAAAGCTAAGCCTCGAGTTTTCGAGGGCCGCCGCCTACCGGCCGAGGCTTCGGAGATCTCAGGGAACCCGAAACTGGCCTAGCGCCGTGGGTCCTTCTCCAAGGGGGCGCGTCTCCACCGGCTGTTTGGAGGGCAAGGCTGCATGGAGCACGCTCTCAGATATCAGGCAAAGCCCCTAAAAGGAGCTCTTCACCGACTTTTTTGGGGCCTCTTAGGCCCTGCGTTCGTTCGGGAGTCCCGAACTCCGCAGAGTTCCCGCTCAGAGGGGCTCGAAACCGCCGGGAAGGAAGCCGAGGACTCCTCAAATCCAGGAGGTCCATCCTGCCAGGAGAGCTCGTGGGTTTCACAATCCCTTTGTAGAGAAGGTTCAAGGGGCTCTAAGATGCGATAAAGGAGAATCATGTAGAAGTGGGGTTTTAAAAAGTGGATGACAGAAGTGAGGGAGGGGTACTAGAGTAGAATACAGTTGCTTGATCAACCCTGAAAGTGGCCGTTCCTTTACCGGGATAAGCTCCATGTATGAACATGCCATTCAAAAGTGAATTTCTTGCTGCTGAATCTTCTCGCCCCAAAGGCAAGATATGCAATTTTGCAAGATCGCGTCTGGTCTTTCTTTCTCGGGTTGAGTTCGGTGCTTGCAGGCTGCTAGGTTTTGGGGTTTGGGGCTCAGGGTTTCGATTGATCGGATTTGTTTCAGGAAAACCGGAAGTGCCCTGACCAAGCCGTCCAGATAACCCTTTTCGGTCCTGAGGCAATGGGGAAGATGGTTTTTGGGCTGAAGGCTGGCTGGTTGAAATGAGAAATATAATCTGAGGGAGGGGGAATAATCGCAGGGTTATATTGATGTTGAAATGAAAGACACTGCCACATCCGCTTGATGGTTTATTCAATGGCGGCCAGCACTGCATAGCCAGTTAAAGCGAGCACGGCCACCGAAAAAATCTGCCCCGCGTCCGCGGTGAACGGCATAACAGGTCACCCCAAAAAGGCACCTAATCTATTATATATATATATATATGTCTGGACATGTTTCGGGTGCAATAGCTCTCCGTTGTTTTGTGTTCAGGTGTCCTTCTGCACCCAGCGCATACCCAGCTGCTAGGAGCAGCCGAGCTTCACCCTAAAACGAACCTCAACAAATTATCCCCAAACTCAAGCCTAAACCCTGAAAAACAGCTCCGAAGCCCTACGCCGCGTCTTCTTCTATGTTTCACACACAAGTCCCGAAACCGCGCCTTCATACATCTGCGCCAGCTCGTCCGGGTCCGTTGCGGCAGCAATCAGGGACTCGGCCTGGAGGAGAGGTGCAGGGTTTAGGGCTTGGGATTTATATAGGGCTCAGGGTTTGGCACGTAGCTTCTACAAGTTCGAGAGAGAGGCCCCTACCTATGAGGGTTCTCTACGAGTGCCGAGTTCCACAAAACAGTTCTAGAGGTGGGTAAAAGGAGAGGTGGGCTTAGGATGACGGCTAAGCGTCAGGGAAGTATGTAGGGTTTAGAGGACATTGGTTTGACGACCTGGGGTTTAAGGTTTAGGTATAAGGGATTAAAGGTAGGATTAGGGTTCAAGGAAAAGTTCCAAACGACTTAGCTTTTAGGCTTCAAGATCCAGGCAAACAAACTGCACTTAAAACCGCTGATCGCTGAACAACATTGCAGATACCCCCATAGCCGAACCGGTCGCAGGAACAACTTCTTAGTAACACCATCGACAATGCACCTTAGCAAATTTTAACAAATGCGGCTGAGAAACGCTACGTAGAACCTCCATGCCCCTACGTACTCCGGTAAGGCAACTGGTGGTAATGCTAGAAAATGAGCAGCAGACCCTTCACCCGAAACTCTCCTCAATTCGGGTAAACCCCGATGAACCCTAAACCCAATCCTTTCCCTGACCTCTGCTCCGAGCGCGGTCCCTGGGTGGGGCATCTTCTTCCGAAGGCTGCGAAGTGCGAAATCGGCCCAGGGACCTTTTCACACTGGTTTAATGGGCTTGAGCACACGGGTTTCTCCAACGGTTTGTGCTTTCAATCGCTTTGTCCTACTTCGCAAGGAAGTTGAGGGTTTCAGGATTTAGAGTTTAGTGTTCAATGTGATGCCACCGGTACTATGCAGATATTTCTGCTCCCTGCCAAGAACCTGTATGCAAGTCCAGTCATCATCAGTCATCGAGTACGCTTATATCGGTTTCTACAAGATTTGCCAAATACAAACCAATAGAGATCATAGGGGCATTACGAAACTAGAATTTGGACATTCCTGGTGGTTTGTCATGGTGCAGCTAGCTATATGAGGACTTTAAGGAGTGAAGACTGCATATGATTACCAACATGCACACCTCTGTATGGGAAGTCCAATCTCCCGCGGTCCGAGAGGCAACTGGGTACTGAGCGAGTGCGGGAAGCACCTGCTTCGGGCTGAGATTTTGGCTTAGGGCCTTAGGGTTTCGGGCCTGGGGTTTACGCTCTCACAACTCGGACACAGCCAGGCGAGGTTCTTGGGTGCGGAGTCGGTGTGAAAAGTTGATTGAGTTCGATTCTCACTTTGCGGGCCTGGGGTTTAGGGTTTTGCTTTGGGGTATTGCAAGGCTTAAAGGCAAGGCTGCATCCCACCCAACCCCTACCCAAACCCTAAAACCTAGACTCTAACACCCCAAAGATTGCTCCTTCTGCTTCTCCTCTACTGAACAGCTTCTTGCTGGCTCGACGTCATGAACTTTGAGGACCTCGTTCGTATGTAGTTCATGGTGGGGGATGCAGGGATTTAGGGCTTTGGGTTTCGGGCTCAAGGCTTTATTTTAGGGTTTCTTCTCGTCTGTCGATGGTGCTCTGCTTGAAGCTGACTGCCTCCTCCGGCGAAGCCACTTCGGCTGGGATCGGGTCGCGCCTTCGTGCTTCCTTGTTAATTCCCAACCATGCACCCCCCAACAGCTCAGCCCCTCAGAAGTAGACTGTCGGAGCACCACTTCCATACGCCCTCAAACCCAACACAACTGCAAACCCCACAGAAACAAACCCAAAACACGCACAGGCGCACACAATGACACACACACACACAAAAAAAAAAAAAAAACACACACACACACACTCAACCACGCCTCTATACGCTTTTACCCCCAACTACAACTCAAAAGCATCAAGACCATTCGACCCTAAACCTTAAACTGCATGAGCATAAACTCACCTACATGTTACACCCTACCATAGGCACCCAACTAACACCAACCCTTCGAAACGTGTTCGAACTTTTGCCGGCTGTATAACCTTGCCCTCCCCCCCAAAAAAAGTCCCAAACCCCTGAACCCTATCAACACCTCTAGGCCCTATAAATCAAACCCGACAAACACCTTTAAACCGTGCAAACCAAAACCCCCATCTAACCTCTCCAAACTAAAAGCGCAGAACCCTTTTAAAGCCTTGTAGCACAATATCTAATCTATGGGGTACCTTTTTAGAACCCTATAAGAAGCCTCGACACCCTCTTTTCAAACCAGATAACACCCGACCAAGCAACAACTTCAAAACCTCAGAGGCATAGCGCCTACTTCAAGAACCCATTAAACAAACCCTCTAACCGATTAAGCACCCCAAGAGCCCTGTGAATGGGCTAAACAAACCCTCTAAGCGCCCTTTTATTTAAGTTTAAGCACCCCAAAACCCGGGCGCCTGCGGCTTCTGGGAGCTCACCGCCGGAGAGCTCGGCGGACTCGGCCTCGGAGACCTTCTCAGGAGCGAGGATTAGGGCTTAGGGCTTTTTTGTTTTTTAAGGGCTCCTTTTTGGGTCCGCACGAAGTGTACCAAACGCCTGTTTAGGCGAGAGCGATTAGGGTTTTGGGTTTGGGAATGAGGGATCAGGGTTTAGGGATTAGGGATTCGGGATTAGGGGTTAAGGATTAGGGATTAGGTGTGAGCGTCGAAACCCTAAAACGCTGAACCCCAAACCCTACAGTAGACCCTAAACCGGAAACCCCGAAGTCATAAACACGTGGTGCAAGAAATTCTTGATGGCATTAGGGAGACCCCTTGAAGCAGACCCTTTAAATCCTACTTCTGGCTCAAGGGCCCCAATCCTATAACCCACACCATAGAACCCTTATGGATGCCACTAACGGAACCCTTTAAAGGAACCTTAATCTACATCCCCCAAATCCTATACCCTGAATCCTAAACCATGAACAATACTCTATATATCCCCGAAAGATCTAAACCCTAAGCCTCGGACCGTTTTAAGGGTTTTGGGGTTGTGGCCAGTTTGGTGCTAGAGCTACTGCTGCTGACTACGACGACGACAACGACGATGACTACTCCGATTATTAGTGTTGTTTTCTTTCTCCTCGTCCTGCTCCTCCTGCCGCTGCGTCTACTGCAACTTCCACTGCTGCTGCAACGTCTGCTAGTGCTACCTTCTGCCAATGGTACTACTGCTACAATAGTTACTGGCCTCTACTAGCCGTGTTTCACTCGGAATGCGGCTCTTTCGAGGTCCCTACAGCTTCTAAAAATCTCCAGAGCACTGCGACGCAGGGCTTCGGGGTGGTAGACACTTTTTGCCGAAACCCTAAACCCTTCAAAAGCAGCGCAGGGCCTGCGAAGCCTCCTCGCCCTCATCCTCCTCGTCCTCCGCAGCAGCTCCAGCTCCGGCAAGCTCGGCCTGGGAGAACTACGAAGTTTGTGAAGGAGGGGTGGCAAATAAGGGCATGAGACTCGAGAGTTTAAGGCATTGGGTTTCGTGTTTGTAGATGTGAGGATTCACATCTTCCGCAAACGGAACATACCTCCACATGCTAAGACTGATCGCTGTTTCGGATTTCTGGGTGTGGGATCAGGGGGGCCCTTGAGCCCCCAACGTACCTGCCCCCAAAGCCGAGCCCGCAGCCTAAATGCGGATGCACATTTATATAGACGTGCCTGCACCCTGAAAAGCCCCAGCCTCCAAGGCCTAAGCCAGGAAAACACCCCAACAAGATCCAGGGTTCTAAGGACTGACTTGAACCCCGAAGAAGCTAAAAAAATTGCTTCCTTGTAGTGATCAGTTTTAAGGTAGGCCCACATGCTTCAACTTACCTCAAGCAGCGCCAAAGGCCAAAGGTTTAGCAACCCCGAATCGCCCAAACGATGTAGGCGCAATAAACACTAGAATAGCACTTACAGGCCATACTACGCTATAGTGACTATAGTGACTACACATGACTCTGGAAGGATACTGCTACTAATTACTCAGAACTCCATATTTCCGTTTATGAACCTGCACACTGCGTTGCGGCAGGATCGGAAACCCCCCATGTCTTCCTTGCTAAAGGTAAACCCCAAGCCCTAAGTGCTTGTGACGGCAGGCCTCGGCAAGTGCACCGGAACCGCTCTTTGCACGGGCGGCGGGGACGAAGCCGTCTAGCGGTTTAGGGTTTAGGGTTTTTTTTTTAGGGTTTAGGGTTTAGGGTTTAGGGTTTAGGGTGGAAGGAGGTAAATGTTTCAGGATTGAGGGTGTTCGGCTTTGGGGCTCGGATTGGACCCTAACGATTCATAGGGTTTACGGTAGGGTTTCAGGTCTCTTGAAGCCTCCGCTGGACTCACAGAAAGCAGCTTCTGATTCGCGTCCCTACGCCTTAGACCCAAGGAAGCTCCAAGCCCTTAGTGTAGGAACCTGATTAAGAAACCCTGCGCCACTAAAATCCCAAAATAGTAGTCTTCATGTAAGGAACCCTAATAAAGGCCCAAGGTTTCTTAATCAGGTTCCTACATTAGCCGAGATTTCTGAAACTCCCAAATGGAGCTCAAGCTCTCCAAATTTGCAAGGGATGACGCCGAGCACCTCCCAGTGGGTCGTCTACTTCTTCTCGATCTTGTGCGAGGAGGCATTCCTGCCCGACTTAAGGCTTCTGGTTGCCCGGGGTTACTTTAGCCTGAACCCTCAATCCCAACTTCTGGGACTTAGAGTCTGAACCCTGGCAACAAGATCCTCGATGCGAATCTTGCAACTGTACCCACGGACCCTCAACTGTAAAATCATAAGATCTAAAAGTCTCAAAATAGAGGGTTCAAGATCTACGGCTGCGCAGATGGAGATGCAACTTGTTCCAGAGTCCACAAGTTTCGAGCACATGCACCCATGGGATAGATGGCCGAGGGTTTATAGGGTTTAGGAGTTTAGGATATATATATATATATGGTTTAGGGTTCAGGGCTTAAGGAGATGTGAAGAGTCCCAACTCACCTGATGTATAGGACGGCAAGACTGCTTGGCGCCTGCAGAGAACCTTGTAATTCCTATAAAAGCATCACAAAATCCAAAGCCCTTCTTGAGCTGAATCCGGATAAAACCTTGCAGGAGCGCTGAGACCCTAAACCTTTGAACTTTTCAATCCCAAAAGCCTAAACCCCCAAATCCCTAAATCCTTCAAACCCTGAAAGCCTCAAAGCCTTAGCCCTTACACCCTTGAATACCCAAAGAAACCGTACTATTGCACCTCCACCCAGAAAGGTAGGTTTGTTGGGGGCTATGAAACTTTGTTTTCAGAGGGTGGTGATCACGGCGCGCCTCTTCTCCTCGATTCGGGGAAGTGTCAGTCCTGCGGTTCTCAGAACAAACTGGCCAGGTTTAGGGTATGTGGCTTAGGGTATATGTGCCTTAAGCCATAACTTAATTTTGTAGGCTCCCAGTGTAGATCCAAACGGTTTCGGGCACGGCGTTTTTTGATTTCGAGTGGTTTGAAAGACAAAATTGCTGCTGACCGGCCTTAGTTAGGGTTCCGGCTATTGGGGTTTTGGGGTGTTTGGGGATGCATTGGGTTGAGGCTGGGATTCCCAGTTGTCAGCATACGCAGTGTAGGACCTGAATCAGAGCCCCCTGAGTCAGAGCCCCAGAGCGAATGACTGCGGACTACTGCTGTCGAGCTCCAATGATGTAGGGCCTATTGTGGCTTGAAGGGCTCTAAGTGCCTACCTGAGATCTGCCTTCTTCCTAGAAGGACGAATCTGAAGCTTTGAACTGATTTCGAAACTCCTTCCATGTAATCAACCCTAACGCCGCACGCCTAAACATCGGACTTTTATTGCGGTTCGCAGGTTAGGAGCAGCCCCGCTGCTGCAACCCGGCACCCACAGCACCATCCGGGCAAGGCAGGTTCCAGATACTTTCGGATGTCAGAGTTACGTTATAATGTTTCGCTAAGGCTTCAAGGCCGTAGGACCTCGGGGCCTGAACCAGTATCCGTTTCAAGCCCGATAGAAACGAGTGGCAGGCTTCATTCGACCATGTAAGATTTGGGGTTTAAGGTTTAGGGCTCACAGGGCTTAGAAACTCAAACTGTGAGAAGGTTTGCACAGTCTCCCCATCAGTTCGAGTTCTACAGTCTACAGGGAGTAAACAGCTCTCGATTTTGCATAATTGACGACTCGCAGTCCGATCCGAGGTCGCCGAAACCGCAGGCATCGCCCGTGCTGTTCTCAAAACAGTGCCTACCTGACTCGAAGAGCATAAGAAGCTGTCCTTCCACCATCCGCCTCCTCATCGTCGTCACGGCCTTCTTGTTTCTCATCACCACTGCTCTCCTCGTCCATCCTCATCTACTTGGGACGTGCCTTTTTTGTCGGTCACTCAAGCTTCTGGCTCAAGGTTTGGGATGCTACTGCCAGGACTTGGAATGAAAGGGGCGAACGTCCACGGTTTGTCAGAAACGCCCGCAACGACCGCCTCCAATGAAAACTTGTAGCCAGCCTTGAATTCTCATCAACGTAAGTAGTGCGGTGAAGATACCGGCAACACGTCAGGGCCACCTCCACCAGCAACCGCATCCTAGCCATCATATGACCATCATCAACATCATCGTGGTGATCATCAGGAAAGTTGTCATCGTCATCATCACCATCATCATCATCCCTGAATACAGTGCCGCAGCGAGCAAAGTCTGATTTGTGCGGAGACTCAGGTCGTCACTTCCAGCCTGTGAATCAGATCGTCGCAAAACGGTGCTTGCTTAGGACTTAGGGATGTGGTGCATGCCTAACTGCGGCTAAACAAAGACTGGTTCTTTCTGAGCGCAAGGAGTAGGGGGGTGGGTGTTGCGGCAAAAGAAGTGTCGGGCTTGAGCTTGAAAAATACGAAGGGCGGGTTCTCACCTTCAATGCTGCAGGTGCTGCTTTCGAGGCTCCTGAACTGAACACTTACATTTAGCTCTGGCTCAACAAGTGATTCATGGGCCCTAGAGATCACGGCAATTCGGTTTTTCTTCTCGTCAAACCATACCGGTACACCGGCTGAAACCTCGGCCCTCGTGAGGATAAATTTGGAAGGAATATGGGTTTAGGGTTTTGACGCTCGCACTCGGACAAGATTTGCGTGAATGCCATTCTTTTCGATTGACACCTGCTGTGTAGTTTCTCTCTTCCGGGAGGTAGATAAGCACAGAGCTTGCGGCTTCTGATTGAAAATGCTCGCGGGTTTAAGGTAGCTATCGGAGCTCTGAGATTCGAAACGCTATGCTTTCAGGACCGGTGTCCCGACTCCGACTGTTGGCTAAAGCTTTAAAGCAATTGTACACGATAGACCCAAGCCCTGGAATGAAAAATCACAGGAGCCCTGAGGCTCCTAAACCCCCTTGTAGGCACATCTACGAAACCCTATAAAACCAACGCAAACTCCTGATAAAACCCTTGCCCTACCTATACCAACCCATAGAACGAAATAAACGGGCCCTTCAACACCCCTTTTTGTTCCAAAGCCCTAATCAGTTTCAAGTCCCTGCCAATGCCAGTAAAGCCGCGTCTGGCACCCTTAAGAACACCATCCCTCTAACTTTAACCCTGAACCCTAAACCCCACAAAACTTCACAAAAAGCAGCCCCGGAGACGAGAGTCCCCAGACACCTCCCGGTTTTGTCGGACCCGCCTCGGTGGTTGGGGCCGCTGCCGAGGCTTTGGCAACCGGTCCCAGCGGCGGCCATGCCAGCCTTGTGACCCAGATGGTAGGGTTCCCATACAAGGGTCCCCAAAAGGGCGATCATGAGAATTTAGAGCTGCGGATCTAGGATTGAAGGACATCGTTTGGTTGGGATTGGGCCGAGATGTGGAGTCTAGCGCAAGGCTTTTGCCCCGAAGAGCAACTTGTCGTTCGTCCGCGGTGGCACGCAAAAAGGCGGTGCCAAACAGCCCAACGAGCCTGAACTCTACTTCTTTAAAGGGCTGTTCTTGGAGATCCACTGAGCCCAAAATCCGTAGGTCGACGAGGATTGTGCAGACAAGAGACGACACAGGCAAGCAGCAGCACTTGCAGAAAAAACGAAAGCAGGACATCTGAGTTGTGCTGACTCCAGGGATGCTGAGGATAAGGCTGAGGGTGAAACCGCTGATAATGTTCATGTTGCTGATGATGATGACAGTGCAAGAGGTGGTCAAAATGGCGACAGCGCTGGCCATGTTGATGATGCGAGCAAGTGACCGTGCCGAAGTCTACGAGCATGACAAGGCGGCTGGAGATGACGATAACAAGGAAGGCTGCGATGAGACTACGAAGAAACCCAGAGGAAAGAAGGTGAAAGCTACGTCGGGGAGCTTGGAGTCCAGTATGTTCGTCTCGCTGCCTTGGCTCTGTGTCGCGTCCTGGCGACTGCGAGGAAAATCTTCCAGGCTTCCAGGCGGTGTAGCGCTCCAAAGCCAAGGACTGTTCGGAGTTGGGCGCATGAAGGGGGCAGAATATGGTTAAGTATGTGTTTGTATGCAGATCGACATTTCACCACCATCACCGAAGGCAAGCTAGTGCAGGTTCAAAGTTGCAGTTTTGCTTTTCGACTACAACCACATGTACACTCTGGCCATGAGAATCGAAACACCAGGGCCTCACCTTCTGTGTTTTCGTCACCATCAACAACACAATCATCCTCGACCCGAAACTCTCAGAAAAGAACCGTCGGCAGCTCCTCTGGTGGTGTCTCAGGGCCCGGAGGCGGCGTGGGAGCTGGTTGGGGCGACGGCTCCTTGGGGAGCTTTAGGGTTTAGGGTTTTAGGGGTTTAGGGTTTAGGGGTCCGGGTTAGGGGTTTAGGTTTTAGGGTTTCGGGTGAACTGTCTGTGAGACAGGCTCGGCTCGTTTGCAGGCCACTACAGAACCCGCTAGCAAGCTCGCCCCCCACACTGCTACGATCAATAACCCTAAACTCTGGTTCCCCTCTGCAAGAGGTAGCGCTATGTGGGACTGGGGCAGCACCGAGATTTACCTGTAGCGGTACCTCGGACGGCGATTCCCATATACCCACCAGTGAAACGTACTTGGCGGTCACTAACATCCAATATGCACAACGGCGAAAACCGAAAACCCTCTAAGACCCTGTAGCCCTTTTAAAGTCCGTACAAATATCAGCCTCCACAAATTAAAAAGCCTATAAAATCCAGAAATCCACCCAAAACCCACTATGAATCTACGACATAGAACACAAAAAACGACGTGAAAGCCAAAACGTTGAGCTCCCCCGCCTGGGCTTGGAGAGCTTTCGTCGGCGCCGGCGCGATCAACTTGAAAGGGCTTGTGACCTGGGGTCGTTTCTTTAGGGCGTTACGGCTTCGTGGCTTTGGGGCTTTAAGGCTTAGGGGTTTGGGTTTAAGGATTTAGGGTTTAGGGGCTAGGGGTTTAAGGCTTAGGGCTGAGGGGTTTGGGGCTTAGGATCTTGCGATTAGGGGGTCTAGGGCTTTCGGGTTGTCACACCAATTAAAGCAAGAGTCTTGTTGAAAACGAGAGTTTAGGACTAGCCTTCAGGATTCATTATTCAGGCTTATGGTTCAAGGAGTGAAGCCCTTTTTGCCGGGTTCCAGGCGCAACCCTCATACGAACCCGCCTTTGGGGCCTTACAAGGCTTTAATCTTTTGATAAGGTTCGCTGAAGCGCTGGAAAAAGGCCTCGATACTTACAAGGCTTCTTCTGTCTCAAAGCTCGACAACAAAAAGTGTGATCGTGAAGAGTAGGCTTCGGTGAGTAGTATAAGGTCGTTGCACTACTACAAGGTTGTTAGGGCGGTATATCAAACGATAATCATGTGAGCACTGCAGTACTGTAAGGGGGTTAACCTTGAACCCACTATGTTCATAGTGGGACGATATGGGGTAAGCTGAACCCGGAGCCCAACACTTTGAACGCACCCACCCTGGTCGCTGAACCCCAAAATCCCAAACGTCGCCAAAGGGTGTTCTATGGGCCACGAGAATTTTTTGCGGTAAATCGGGTGTTACAAGGGTTTTTAGGTCCTTGAAAAGGCCCAGTTGCCTGCATGGTGGGTAGCTGAGGGTTACAAGGACCGCAAACCTTAAAGCCCTGAGCCCTTGGCCTTAGCACTTGGCTCTCACCAACGCCGCAAACCACGACAAGCTGCCGGGTAGAGCCAATCGTTCACTGGGGCCAGAAGCAGGCATGGCCCAGCGAGGGCCACGAAAAGCCTGAGTTCTGACTTGGAGTTTCCGGCTTTGGACGTGGAGGTGTGCGGAAAAGAAACTGCAATCCTCGCACTGGGAAAAAGTGCACCAGAACCCGTCCTCGCTGGCTTTGAAGCCCACCCAAAAAGCAGTCCACAACGCCCCCCACACACACAGACATAAAGCCAACACATGGCTTGGGGTTTACAGCTTAGGGATGAAGGCAAGACCAATTACCCTGAACCGACATCCGCAAACCAATTTTTGAACGAGGTCTCTCCAAAGTGCCTCCCTAACCCTAAACACCCCATTCAACCCTATAAAGGGCAAACCAAGCGAAAATTGACAGAACCCCTGACAAATAAGCACAACGGTTTTCACGAAAGGCTCCATACGGACATCAATTGAGTATGGAACACCGACATAACTAGTACCGAGCGCTGGGACCTTATAGGCTGCTTTACGACTGTAGCGCCCTTGTAGACAAGCAGCTCTTGCCACTCGGCCAAGAGCCCCAGGCCAAGCTCCATCCTCGGTAAAAGGGTGATCGAGGTGGAAGAGTCCAGGGCTTCGGGGTTTAAGAGTTCAGGGTTTATAGAGTTCAAATAGAGTTATGGTGACGCTTAACAGAAAAACAAAAAAGCGTGTAAGGGATTCCAGAGATTCTTCGGCTTGAAGGGTTCAAGGGTCTAGGATTTGGGGTCTAGGGCCTTTTTTACATGATTTTCGAATCAAACAGGCTGGCATAGGGGTTGTCTTAGTTCCGATGTAGGATTTTGGTAGCCATTGAAGTTAAGCAGGCCTGAACGGGCTCTAAGGCTCAGGGTGGGGTTATTCAATCTGCTGTTGAATGGTTGTAGGGAGATCTTGAGGTCTAGCGTTTCGGGAGGGTACGTTTAGGAATAATGACAAAGAAGGGTGCCTGAATGACTAGGGTGACTTCTTGGGGTATACTCAACTACAACAATGGGGTTCCAAGTAATGAGCCTTTTGAGGGCTTCTTAAGGCCTTGAGGTTGCACTCTGCAAGATATACAGCCATTGTCAAAACCGGTCCTGGGTACAACAATGTCTTTGGGCTTAGATGCTTGCTTCGATCAAGGCAGGGGTGGTTTAGGAGTTAGGATTAGGGGTACCCTCGGGGTTAAGTTAAGAAGGGTTCCCCTTTAAGGGATCTCCCTAATACTACCTAGGATGGTTGCAACAAAGCGTCGTCGACAGCAGAGGCCCCGCGACTCCCAAGGCGCCCAGCGCGTGCACCATGCAGCGCGAGAGGCCTCAGCCGAACCCTGCAATGCACAGGCCAATGTAGGGCTGAGTTTTTACGATAGAAATCAGGTTCAGGGCACAAGACAAGTTTGAGGGTTTTCACTGTAGTGATGAGTGCAGCTGCTACCTTAACCTACCACCACCTTTTTTGCCGCAGGACCCATATAATACAAACCGCACGGTGTATAGAACCATAGAAAAAAAGCAAGTTCTGGTTGGTTAAGGAATTCAAAGCAGACAAACACCCCACCCAGCAGCGGAAAGGCACACGCTCCGGCACCCTGAGCCGGGCCCCTCTGTCAAAGCAAATGGAATAGTCCACGTGGATCACCTGTAGAGCTCAGGGGTGGAGGGCTCAGATTTCAGTGTAGAGGCCGCATAGAGTCGGCGGGGCCTTCGTATGTAATTCGAGCAAGGTTTTGCGTGTCCCATAAGGGCTTAAGTTGTAACACATTGAGCGCTCTTGATCTGGAGATGTTCTAGAACGTGGAGTTGACAGAGGTTCACTATTCGGGGTTCAGGGTGTGTACTGTGTCTGCACGAAAAAATTCTGGTCTTTTTTCGCAGTCGATTACTTCAGGGGCAGACTTCGGGGCTACACATCGGTTCGAGCCCAGAACCCAAACCCATGACGAGAGCAAGTTCAGCTCAAAGCAAACCATGTAAGCCCCCTAAACCGTAAACCCATAAGGGTATTACGCTTGGGATTTGCTGATCGTTGCACTCCTTGAGAATGCAACAGGCAGCCAAGAAAGATCAGACTAACTTCGGGGAATACTATGGGTAACTGTTCAGACCCTCTATTGCATCGTTTCTCAGTGGCCCGATGAAGCCGCAAGCCCCGCAAACCTCTCAAAATCTTCAACCCGGATCGAAGAGAAAACAACACTTGCGGAGTGTTCCTCAGCCCCACGCCCAGAACTTCCATCCTACATCAATGCCAATCTACCTCCCACCCCGAGGCCGAAGCAACCCTAAACCCGAAATCCTGAACCCTTAACCCTACTACATCCACCTCCCCAGTGGTCAAGTCCAAGAGGAGGTTGTCCAAATGTCGGTCACCCAGACCGATGAGATGCCTGGCTGGGGGCTCTTGTTCGGCTTTTTAGCGTTTAGGGTCTTAGGGGAAGTGGGACTAAGGGGCTAATGCGTTTAGGTTTAGAGCTTTGTGTGTAGGGTGATGAAGGCTGCCGTACCATAGGAATCTGCAGTAAGTCACGAAGGTCTCACTTACGCTTTTCGGGTACTTTCTCCTGGTGTTTGGGCTCCTAAAGAAGACCCGAAGGGAACCCTCAAAGCCACCCCAAAACGCCTGGCGTCCTTTCTGCCGGCTTCGAACATGTTCGCTTAAGCCAGGCGTCCCGAGAACCGAGGAAAGCCCGACGGAATTGGCGAAGGCTGCGGTGCGCGCGAAGTGTTGTCCTGCGTTTTGAAAGCTTTTTTCAAGGTCTGGGTTCCTGTAAGGCGGCTGTTGCTTCGTGGTTTGAGGCACTTGGGGCTTAGGATGTCCCAATATAGGGTTGTCGGAGGGCCTTACATCGCAACAGTGTTGTCAAAAGGATGTCATACAGAACAGAAGCTGTGCAAAAAATTATACAGAGCCCTAGCAGACTCTCGTGCAGCTTGCAAGAGCTTGAAAGCAACCACCAAAAGACTCCGAAAACTTTACAAAAACCTAGAAACCATGATGACGCCCGATGAAACAGAAACTGACAACATCCTGAACCACCCTAAACAGCAACCTTTAAACCCTGAAGCCCCCCTTGAAGCCCCCCCGTTAGAGGAACCCTTAAAGGATCCCTTGAAGGAACCCTTGAAGGACTCTTTAAAGGCCCCCCGTTGCAGCCACTCCTGGGTGCAGGGAGCTCAGCAAAAGCTCGCGGCTCAGCAGATCTACCGGGCCGTCCGCCTGCATCTCCTCGAAGGTCCTCTGGTGGTTTAAGGGGCTTTACGGTTTCGGGGTTCAGACTTTAGGGTTTTGGGATTTATATGGGGCTTTGAACATTTAAAGTGGTTTAAGGTGTTTTTGACACTCACTCTCGGACAAGCCTGAGGTCTGCAGTAGCAGGTTCGACGCATTTCGTTAACGACCCTACGAGTCGGTGTTAAGGGGTTTTAAGTTTTTGGGGTTCAGGGTTTTAGGGTTTATATGGGGCTTTCTGCAGATTCAAGGGGCTTTATGGTTTTTCAAGTTGCATTCTTGACACTCACACTCAGACAAGCCGGGCAAAGTCTGCAGCAATACGGGTTGCTTCGCTAACTCGACCATTCAGTGGATTCACTGAACAGTCCGTTGTCAAAGTCAAGAAGTCTCAACGACCACAACAAGTGCCAAACCATATGTATCGCTGAATTGACCCCGGGCCCTCGAGCAGGAACAAGCAGGCCTAACATCCGCACACATCACGGGGATTGGATTTTTGGGGTTCAGGGACTAAGGTTTTATGGTTTATATTATATATATATATACATATACACAGATATACATATACATATATATATATATACACAAGGTTTTCGGAAAATTCAAAGGGCTTTATTTCAGAAGGCATCGAGCACCCTGTCCTGCGAAGGGCCTCCAATGGCCAGTGCTTGCGAGGAGTCGTATTGACATCCTTGGGAAATCTGCAAGCCTAGCTAAACCCTACAGAATCGTAGGTTATGACCCCTAAAAATAGAGTGTCGCCCGTGTAGCTTTCGGAACAAAGCCTGAAATGGTGCAAAATCCAAACATCCCGCAACCCAACTTCGGCCGGGCCACAATGTCCATGCTCCTGCCAGGGGGGTGCCACATGCCTTTCCACGTGACTGGGCTAAGCTTCGTGCTTGCGACCGGCACAGTCGCACAGACCATCCCCGAAGGGAGCCCTTCCCAAAACCCCTCAACCTTGTTTTAAACCGACACCGTACACGTCCTGAGGTGTTGCTGGATCTTCTTTTGCCACAGGTCGGCAGAGGACGGCCGAAGACCCTCCTACCGAGAAGTGAGCTCGGGGTCTGCTTGGTCCAAGTTCAAAGATCTAGCAAACCTAGAGATGAGGGTTTAGAGCTTCAGGGCTTTATGGTTTCGGGCTTAAGGGTTGTAGGGAGCTAAGGTCTTAGCTCTAGGCGTTGAGGCTACAGGGTCTACGGCATTAGTTTGGGGATTTGGGGCTTACGGCTTACATGTAGCGTGCGCGGGACTTCACGTAAAGTCGCATGCCGCAACCCCAGATCGCTGTTCTGATAACATCTATCTTGGCTTTAGCGTTGGAGGTGTTAGTGTTGGGGGGTTCGAGTTGGGAGGCTGGCTTTGGTCTAGGGAGATTGCATGAAGCATGCCAAGCTTTCTGTTGTAAGACTTGGCAAGCAACAAAACATCTGAGACAAGCAGGATCGAATCCGTAAGGCCCCTTCTTCCCTAAACCCTTTTTGCAACTGGGCCTGGGGATCAGAAAGGTTCTTGCTTCCCTAAACCCTACAGTCTAAACCCAATAAAATTCCTATAAACCCTACGGTATGAAACCCTCCTATTCCCCTGTATAAGGCCCTCATACCTTGTCAAAAGATGCATAAATACTTGGTGGATTCAAGCAGCCGGGGGAATCCATGCAGCAGCTTCTTTAGAATGGTGTCCGTTTTCTGGCTTGGGCTCCTTATAAGTGTAATGCCGTATATGTTCGGGATCAACCAAAGACCCAAAGAAACCATGCGGACAGTCTTCATTACCATGCTCGAGCTTCGCAGTTAGAAATCATGGGTTCGGGTTGGAAGTGTTTCCGCAGCTCGTCCGCATGTTGTGTGTTGTTAAACCCCTGTTTTGGGGTAGAGCCCTCGTGAAGCCAGCTCAGCGCTCGTGTGAAGCTCTGGGCAGCCCTAAAAACCTCCTAAAATCCCAAAGCCTCGGTAATTCAAAACCTCTAAACCCTGAACCCCTGTGCATCCCTTAAAAACAACCCCTACAGGTGCGGCTCTCTCTCTCTCTCTCTCTCTCTCTCTCTCTCTCTCTCTATATATATATACAAACTCTATATATATATATGTGTGTGTGTGTGTGTATGTATGTATGTATGTATGTATGTATATGTATATATATATATATATATTTTTTGCCACCCGCCCAGCTGAAACAAGTCGCACCGCAGGGAACTCGTCAGAACTCAAAGACTAGAGAGAGACTCCAGGGACTATGCGCATGCTACTTATTTATTTTTGTGTGTATATATATATATATATATATATCTCTCTCTCTCTGCATATTGCACCCACCAGCCCCAAAAAGGGCCCCCCACTGCTAAAGCCCCAAGGACAAAGAGGCGTCCTTCGTCTTCGGCTCACTCGAGGAAGCCTTCGGCCGGAATTAGGGTTTAGGGTTTAGGAATTCTAGGGTTTAGGGTTGAAGGGTTTCTGGGTTTCGGGACTCACTGGGACAAGCCCGTCCTTCTGGGTTGAGGCTTTGGGAATGGCGGTGGTCCTCTAAAGAATTCTTCAAGGATTCCGTAAGGCTCCTGTCCTTTGAAGGTGCTTCAGAATCTTTTATACGTGCCCCTTTAGGATACTCTAAGTGCACTGTAACAGCGAAGGGCCTTTCGGGTCGGGTCCGCGATCTCAGGCTTGGGGAGTTTAGGCTTCGTAGTTCGGGCTGAGAGTAAGGGGGGGGTTTGTGGTCTTGAACATGCCTGGCTTTTGAGCTTCAGGTTCGAGAACTGTTGATGTGCCCACTCCATCGAGGAGGCTCGGATCACATTGGGGCTTATCATCTTCTCGGCCTTCTCAGCTTCGTCGGATTGTAGCTGTTATTTTTCTGGCTTCCGGGGGCTAGGAAGCTCGGTTGCGCAAGGTCGCGAGGATGAATGTTAACCGGAGAAAGCTGGCGTGGTGGCTTGCTAAGTTCCAGCGGCTCACTCCTGCTCCTTTATTAATAGGATCGCCGACATGTAGATGTTGCACCAAGAACCGACCTAGGTCTTGCAGACTTGGCCACCACAAAGCGCCCTTCAAAGGCCCCATACATCCCTAGCTCTAAAGCCCCAAATCCTGGACTCTAGGGCTCAGGGGAACCACTGAAAGCACTTCCCTCACAGCGAAGCCCAGAGCACCTGCCGACGCTGCTTGTGGATGACGAAGAAAGGCCTCAGCTGCTCACAGGGTGTACGGTTTAGCGATGTTTAGGGTTTAGGGTGTACTTCTCGGAGCCTGTCATGACCGGGGATCATCATCATCATCACGACCACCGCTCCAAGCTTGCTGATCATTGTCGCACCCTTCCGATCTTGCTGAACTTTGCCGTTTGGGAACCAAGAACCTCGAAGTCTGCTCCGAAAAACCCCAAGTCCTAGACCCTAACTAAACCCTTAACCCTGCCCTCCTGATGGCAGCCCCGTGGCGTCGCAGCCACCCAGCGAATGAGACCCGCCCTGCCAGGTCTCTGGGATTGGGGAGTTGAAGGCTTAAGGGTTTCAGGGAGTTTAGGGGTTCAGGGTCCGCAGATATTTTACGGTTTCGGGATGAATTCGGCTTCAAGGGCTCCAGGCGGTGTTTGGGCTTCAGAATTTCAAGTGATGGGACTTGGGCCGCTTCAGCAAGGAGTTGGTCTGTGAATCCCGAATCCCTGTCCGAATGCGCCCGACGATGCAGCTTGATTACAGTACAGTAGCAGGCAGCCACTGGATTAATCATGCAGCTCGGGCTGCCTCGGCACCGTATCACGATCCCAAAACCTAAACCCTAGGCCCTAAACCCTGAACATCTCCTTCAAACTGCCTGTAAAATGACCAAGCGCCTTCGCTCCGAACAGCATTTGGATTTCGGGCGTTGGGGATGCACTCGGCGGCTCAAGGGCTCAAAGTGTTCCCGGTTTTTGCTTTGTGATTTTGAGGTTTTAGAGTTCAGGGCCTCGGGCTTGGGTTTGCTGTACCAAGCCCCTTAACCAGAACTCCAAGGCAGAACGGAGAGTCCCCAGCGACTCCAAAAAATGCCCTCATCAGGAAGTACAGCCTGAGTCCCTACAAAAGTTATAGGGGAATCCAGAGTAATCAGTGTACCTTCGAAAAAGAAATAGGACCCTACGAAATATTCGTACATTTGCCTGTTTCTCAAGCATCTTACCCTAGGCAAGGGTTTGGCCCTTTTTTTGCATCGGGCCTTTACCACCGCCCGGTATCCCCACATTGCTTGGCCCTTTTTGCCTAAACTCTGAACCCTAAATCCTAAAGTCTACCTTTTTGAACCCGGACTCTCTGAGGCGCCGGCACTGGAGCAGAAGTATCTCTGACGCTTGCAGCAACACAGAGGACATGGCTACCCCCCTTTACTCCAGCGAAATGCGACGACACACACTATCACACACTGTCATCATGACTGCCACAATACCCATGACCCTAAACCCTAAACCCTAAATAAACCCTAAACCCTGAACCCGAAACCCTAAACCGAACCCGTAACCCTGAACCCTCAACCCTATATGAACCCTAGTCCGCAGGGCTCGCGGCCTGGGAGCGATGGGAACGACGTCGTAGTCCCGGCAGCGGAGCGGCACAGCGGGGGACAGAAAGGCACCTGCAAACGGACTCTAGTATAAATATATAAATATAAATATATATATATATATATATATATATATTTATATATATATATATATATATATATATTACATATATACACATATTTGATATATATATATATATATATATATATATATATATATATATATATATATATATAGGTGTATATATATATATATATATATCATATGAAGATTAACAAGAAGGAGAAGAGTCATGACCATAACAATTTATCGCGGACGTTAAACCCCAAATACGAAAAGTGCTCCACGGCCGTCCGCAGCAAGAGTCCAAAACGAAAGCTTTCGGCAGCAAATTGTTTTTTCTGATCGCTGCTATAGCTACGATTGATAAAACCTCAATTGCTGCACCTGCGTGTGCACTTCGAACAGTGCATTGAAGATATTCATTACAGCATAATTACAAGGATCCCCACTGAATAGTCGTGTACTTGTCTAGGCTTTTAGAGGATGCGAAGAGATCCGAATCCCGAACACCAGGTTCTGCATTCCTCGCCTCGCCCAACACCCCGCGGACCCAGCGCAGTCAGCGCCGCACACCTTACATGAGGATGCTTTGAACCTTGAACTCAGAGCCCCCTTCGTCTTACACAACAGAACGGAGAAGCCGTACTAGAGGGCAGAGGAGGCTTCCTCAAGTCTAGGCGAATCCTAAATCCTAAACCCTAGGCTCGTGATGGGGCGGAGCTGGCCATGCAATGAGCGGGCCGGAAGACTTCGCAGTCCCCTTACAGGGAGAGGTGTTACTGGTGAGTTCTAAACGGTAGCAGGGTTGATGGGCTTCAAAGGGTTACGGTGTAGGGTCCAGGGGTTTTGGTACCCTGCTCGATCTGCAGAACGGTCTAAGGTTTAGGTTTTTTTTTTTTGGGCGGGGGGGGGGGGGGGCGCGGAGTTGGGATTTTCGGTGTACATCGCGTTGAAGGGTTTACAGACCCAGGTCTGGCTAGGGAAGCCGCTGTCAGTCCGTGAAAAGGACTCCAACTCCCAACATCTTCGCAACTACTACAGCCTACATCTTTGTAGGGCCTTGTTAGGTCTGCAAAGGAAGCAGAAGGCTGTGGACGTTTAGATCTAATTTCGACGAAGGGGTTGAGGTTCCTGGGATTCGGGCTCACTGTTCAGAGAGAAGCGTCTACTGCCGGACAGCCCAAACACTCAGAAGCTATCCCGGAACCTTACCCTGAAATCCTAACCTCTCAACCCCTGCACCCTAGACCAAGATTGGTACCCTCACCTTTCTGCCGCAAGCACGCGCTTTCCGCGAAGAGACCCTGCTGCCACATTGGGCCAAGGAAGCATGTTCGACGAAGTGTGAGTCAGTCGTCCTCTAACCTGGTCCCCTTGCTCGGGGCGGAGGGCCAAGGCCTTCTCAGTTTAGGACACTTATTTTATAATACGGAGCCCCTAAAAGGCCCTAAACCCTAAACCCCATCCAAGGCCAGACGACTGACTCCAGATTCCGCTGTGTGAAACTTCGGATGTTCAGGGTTCTGAAGAGTCGGGTTTTTTGCTAGGTTCCCCGGTAGCTTCTTAATCATACAGATACCCGTTTCCTTGCTATTCGGTTTTAATATAGGGGAAGACCCGGCGAACCTAGTTTCCCAGCTTCGCAGCGGGCTTAGGCGTGAAGGTCGGCTGTGGCTGGTTTCGGGCTTCTGGGGTTCATGCCGAGCTTCGGTAAACACGAGAGCACTCTGCTGCGCTCCGCAGAGGCGCGCCGAAATTTGGGGCTCATCGTGCACCGGATCAGTTTCAAAATCCTGACTTAAACCATATCCTAAACCCAGAGTTAGAGTCTTGAACCGTAAACACTAGACACTAAGCTAGGCTTCAGGGTGAACTTCAGGGTGCAGTATGCTAGAATTCCAATTCTCCGGGGTCCTTAAGCCTGCGTTATTTTTTGCGGAAAGTGTGCTGGAAACTGAGGGTGATACCACTGGCATATGCAAAGTACATACAGCTGCACTCATGTTCAGGCTTTGTTTTGCAGCTCGCATGTGTGTTCTGGATTTGGCGGCCTACGGAGAACAGTGTTTTCAGATTTGCTGGTTTGTTAACCAAAAGTACCCTACATCCTAATTCTAGTCGACAAGACTTTTGAGACTGATCCCAAAACGAAAAATGCCGAATGCTGGGTGAGGCCAGAGAGCCCAAGCGTCGCTCTAAGCCCTTTTTGCCTAACTCCTCGATCCCAGAAGCATTCTGCAAAATGGCATGGTCAGAAAGCTTGCCCTTTGCCACATCAAGCCATGCTCAACTCGAAGCCCGGTGGTTCCTTATTGACATTATGGTTTATATAATGGGACCAAAACCCTACTCGAATTGTTAAGGCCCCACCCACGCCCTCGGTCAGCGTCTCCGGCAGCAGGCGCAGGCAAGGAGGAGGCAGAAGCAGGCGAAGATGCAGAAGATCAGTGAAAATACGAGTCCTGGTGAGAGTAGGATGGCTGAGGGGAATCTCTGGCTTAAGGTGGCTTTGGGCTTTTGGTTCAGGGTGCGTGGGGGTAGCGTGGCGAGGGCAGAGGAGCCTTGAGACCTTTCAGAAGGGATTCGGACCTCTTGCTGCGGAGTTCATTCAGCTGCGCATGAAGTCCTGTTTGGTTGTTGCACACTTCCGTGAAAGGAAGACCAGATATCTTAGCAAAAATGGAAAAAACATGTCAAACAACTGTATAAACCCACCCACCAAAAAAACAAGCCATGAGTAATTACCGACTGAAACCTCTCGGAAAAATCAGAAAATCCCCTAAACCCTAAACGGTGCAACAGTGAGTCCTAGTTCCACCGAGAGAAATGCCAGCCAGAAGCTCCCTGTGTAGATAACCTCGCCGCGCGAGCTTCCGGGATTCAAGACTTAGGGTTTAGGGTTTAGGGGGTTCAGGGTTTAGGGGTTTAGGGTTTTTTTTGCCACCCGCCCAGCTGAACACTGTCGCACCGCAGGGAAGTCGTCTGAACTTACGACTACACGGGGTAGGAATCCAGGAATAACACACACTGCAAACCGAGACTTCAGGGCTTAGGATTTAGGGGGTTTAGGGTTTAGGGGGTTTAGGGGGTTTGGGGTTTAGGGGGTTTAGGTTTAGGGGGTTCAAGGTTTAGGGCGTAGACTCTCGCAATTCGGACTCAGTGTTTAGGTTTGTCGTGACATGTCGGATTTGGCATTTCGGGTGCTCCAGCTCTAGCTTTGGAGCTAAAGTTTAAGATTTAGGCTTCAAATTTTCGGGTTGACAACTTAGTGTTTAAGATTCCCTAAGGACTTCGGGCTGGGTTTATGATCCCTTCAGGACTCAGGGTTTCGGGTTTAAAACCCCTTTAGGCTGGGTACTGCCCCCACCCTCCGGAGGATCGGCTGAATGCATGTGCCAACTAGCAACTGGGACAGCAAAGATCTGAGACTACGACCCCATGCATTACTTCCCCCCAAGCCGAAGATACAAATGGCTTAAGACTAGCGTAAACCCGGAGTGTAACTGTCGGGCACTGTGTAACCAAGAACGCTCAGACCTGAGCCCTCAAACCGCTCGCTGTGTGGAAAGCCAGGTCGCTCCAACACTGAGGGTCAGCAGCGCTGAGAAGCCTTGGGCAGGTACTAGGTCACGATGATGTGAGATGGGATTCAGGGCTGTTGGGGTTCCAGGTATGGGATGCTTGCCTTTTCTGCTGCACTGCTGCTTGCGCGAACCGTCTCTTGACAGCCTGCTTCGCTGTCGCTGCCATGATTCCGACACTCTGCCTCACTTTGCCGACTTGCTGGGTGACTATGCCGATTTTCATGCATCTTGCAGGCGTCGCTCCACATGGCTTCCTGTTTCCAGATGCATTTGTGATTACTCTTAGCTTGGATTCTGCTTCTCCCTCTTGACCCTGCCTTTAAGCTTACAGCTGCTGCTCGTTTCGCCCACTTAAATCTTAAACCTCTTTTCTCCGATGCCCCTTTCACTCCTGCAAACGGACAACTCCTTCTCGATCCCTTGCGACGTGCCTTAGTGGGGTTTCAAGTGTAAACATTTCTGCCCGAATAGATCCTACCCTGAAGAAACCCTGCAACCCGTAAATCCTGAGTTCTAAACCCCGCAAAGCCCGTCATTTTAAATCATCTTGCCCCTTCTGTTCTGACCAGGATGCCCCAGTCGAGGAGACGGGATCGACGCGGGGCGGCGAACTTAGCCTGACCGGATGAGTTCAGGGTGGGGCTCTATAGGGTTATGTAAGAGTCATGCAGGCGGCGCTATGCGAGTTCTGTAAGGGCTCTCTGGAAGTTCTATCACGGCTTTGAAACTGTTTTTATATAGGCTTCAAGGATTGAGGTTTTTCCAACCCGCTTAGCTGACCAGGTAGCACTGCCGGAAGTTCAATTGGAAAGGATTGGGGATTCTTTCCCTTGGGGTCTAAGGTTTTGGGGTAGGGCTTGAAGGATTGTAGCTGGTGTCACCTGTTAAACTCCCTGACATGCAAATATGCAACCCTGAACCTAACCGCCCTGAAACCTAGTGCCACGACTATCCACAGCCCTAAACGGCTCCTGCTTGCGGTTTGTATGGGAGTGTTGACTGTAGGTTCCTCAGGAGCTTGAACGCGAGGCTTAGGTTCGCGAACCATGCCTGTATAACCTTATAAAACTTGGCTCGGACACTGATAACACCTCATACAAGCCCCTGTAGCGTTTGGAACGAAGGGTACCTAGCGGGTTTGGTTTTGGGGTTGAGTGGAGGCATTTTGGGAACATCCTGAACTACGCCGACGGAGGGCTGAATGAGAGGTAAACCCTACCCGAATTAAACCCTAAACCCCTAGACCCGAAACCCTAAATTCGCCGGCTCTGAGGATTTCGAGCTTCGGAGTTGAGTTTAGCGGCTTAGGGTTTGAAGGTTTAGCGCTTCGGGAGTGGGGGGTTTAAGCATTGGAGAGGGCTTGGGGTGATCCGCCCAGCCCCACCGTGGCATTGAAGAGGAAGCGCAGAAGAAGGAGACAGACGAAGACATGAACGCCCACGTGGACTGCCAACAGTCGCGAAACCACTCCTTGCGTGCGCAGTCTTTCCGACGATCTGAAGACTTGCCGGGTCTGGGATCTAGCGTTTTAGGGTTGGGCGTGTTTGTAACACTGTTTCTTCCCTTTTGCTGCTTTGTTCGGAACACACACACAGAGACAGACAGAGCTTCTATGAGAAGTAACACGGATGCATGTAGCACATGCATTTGTCAGCCCAGTTTGCAGCCTGTCCCAAACCCTAAAAACCTTCAACCCTTTTGGCCCGAAAATACCTGAAACCCTAGACCCTTAAAGCCCTAAGCATACGCTCAACATGCACATGTTTAGTTGCAAGCTAGATCAACCCTGACCCACGAAGCCAGCAGTGTTCAACCCACCTGCTCTCCTCAACCCTAAACCCCAAGCCATAAAGGTTTCGCCGTGTTTCTCTGTGTCTAAGGGCTTCATCATAAGGGTTCGTGCCAGGATTACTACAGATTACCTCCAGAGCACGAGGATCAAAGGGGCTCCCGTACATAATGGGAGTTAGGATTGGAGAGACCCTTGGGTAGACCCTCTCAATAAGGTCCTTTTCAAGAGAGCCAGCCAGCAGTAGGGTTAAGAAGGGTGTCTCCCTGATACCTAGGACCTAGGACTCAGTAAGCTCCACCCTTGCAGGCTGGAACCCCAAACACTTTTTGTCCAAGACCCTCAAGCCTATAACCCAGAAGCATCAAGAACCCTAACAACCCAAAAGCCCGAACACCCCCAGAACAACTCCAATCACTACAAGACCGCAGCAACCCTTTTGAAACAGCCTAACCCCAAAGCCCCAAACCGCCAAACCCATCAAACACCCACCGGAGGCTCGATCAGCAGGCTCGCCAGACTTGAGGACGCTGAGCATGTGCTCGGCCTGTCGTTTCTGATTGCACTTAGAGGTTCTGGCTGTTGGGGTTTGGGCTTGGGGCTTAACTTAGATTGCCGGGGCTTGGGTTTAGGATTATGGTTTTGGGTGTAAGCTTGAGGGGTTGGATCGGGCTAGGCAGTTTCGGCTTGAAATAGCTCTCTATGGTCACTTCTTGCATTCAAACATCCGGGTAACCCCAAACCCTACACCGTAACCACCCGAAACCCTGGAACCTAATAAAGAAGCTCTACGCCTGAAGCCGAGGCACGGAAACAGCCAAAGGCGATGTGAGGATCAGCAGCTGCTGGCCCGTCCTGGTGGAGCCCGAAGAAGGGGTACAGGTTTGGGTTTAGAGTGTAGGGTGTAGGGTTTTGGGTTTAGGGTCGAGGGTTTAGGGTGTAGGGTTTTGGGTCTAGGGTTGGGGGTTTAGGGTGTAAGGCTTAGGGTTTAGGGTTTTACACCCTATCAAGGGCTTCTCGAAATCCCCCGAAGAGCTACCCCACTTCAGCCGATCGAGGCAAGCCCGAATCAAACAACGCCGAAGGCCTGCGAGAAGGAAGCAGTGGGCCTGGAGGGTTCAAAGAATGAGGCCGTTCCCAGTAAGTGGACCCCTTGAATGAGAATAGGGCGGGGCACATTATACTGAACTTAGACTATAGCAATATAGATAAGGACGCGAAGTGCAGACGACTAGAATGTCACGCAAGTGATCAGAAGACTCACGAGGCCTTCAAAGCTTCAATCAAGTTCGCTCGTCCTCGCAAGCCCCCTAAAAAGATACAAAAGCAATATGAAATCCTTCCAAATGATCCCATAGAAACAGATGGAACCCTTAAAGCCACCTGAAAAAAATAACCTGCAAAATCCATAGAAACAGATGAAAACTCAGCGCCCCCTGCATTAAAAAAATACTAAACCTCATAGAAACAGCTGAGACCTTAAAGCCCCCTTACAAAAAAAAACTACAAGCTTCCACAAGGTCCAACAAACCTCAAAAAGCCCGTAGGAAAGCTCCCGAAGTCTTGTTCCCTCCCAACAAAATGCCATAGAAGCAGATGAAACCTTAAAGCCCCCTGTATTAAAACAAACTACAGCTTCCAGAAGTCTTGCTCCCTCCCAGAGCCTCGGCATTCCCTGCAGAGGCTTCAGCTCCTGGGTGTTAGTTTAGTGGTGGTTTTAAGATTTTTGAGGGGTTTTAAGGTTTTTTCCCTCCTACCTAGCAAGGGCGAAGCCCGCATTCCAGGATTTAGGTGTTTGGGGTTTAGTGGTTTAGGGGTTTGGGGGTTTATGCGAGCAGTCGCTGCGGACGATCCGGGCGAGATGCACGCAAGGATCCCTACAACGGACTATCGGTAAAACAAACCTCCAATTAAGACGCTGTGCCTTGGAGCACGGTGTATAGCTTTTTCGGTCTCCTTTCTACACCTGGACTATGCACATGCGAGTCGCCGACTGTGCTGTGGACTCGCGCCACACGGCTACCCCAGCTTGCAAAAACTGATCAACTGTTCCTTTTCGGAGGTAGGGTTTCGGGTTTACAGTATACGGCATTATTGGCGTTGTTTACAGGGTCTTGTCTGTGGCACTTGGGTTGTGATGTCCGTTAAAGAGTTTTTGGGAATTCTCGGGTTTGGCTAGAAGGGCTTGATGCGGGGGGGGGGGTTCCAGGGGCGTCTGGGGCCCCAGGCTGGCAGTGACCCTGGAAATCCTCACGGGATCTTCAGTGCTCGGGGAAGGTGAAACATCCAACACAAAAGTCTGAGACCCCCAACACCTGTTGTTCTAAATCGCCCAGGACCCGAAAAAACCTAAGGAGCAAATTTTGAGCTCGACGGCCTGCAACCCTACGTGCACACCAAGCTCTAAAGCAAAACCCAGAAACCCGAAGCCCGCACTCCAGCATAGAAAGCTTAAAAGATCGCGTAAAGGAGCCCTAAACCCTCGAAAGGCCCTACCACGCTGGCCTGGTAGAGCGTGGTGCGCACGAAATACTCGAAGACCCCGCGGCTGCCATACCACCTGTGTGCGTGCGGTCTATGATTCTTTTCTACAGTTGTTCTATGGATTTTTATTCTCCAAAGCCCTAAAGCCCCACAAAGCAGCCCAAAGCCAACAAAGCAAAGCTACAAAGTAGCCCAAAGCCCAGAAGCAGGCCAAAGCCCAAAAGTGGTCCAAAGCCCAACAGCAGCCCAAAGCCGCAGTAGTCCCAAGCCACAAGGCAACCAAAAGCCCAAACAGCAGTCCAAATAAAATCGAAATGTGGGCGAAACAAGCCAATATACTCAAACTGAATTTCTTCTCCCTAAAGCCTAGCTTCATGCTTGTCTTCAGCGGATAACCTATGCTGGTGCGCTCAGGCACAAGCCTCAAAAAAGGTTGGGTTTGGGGTTTGGGCTTCCAGCTTTCATAAACGACAAAGCTCTTCAGAGACTCTCCGCAACTGAAGAAATTCTAGATCCTTGCGGGAAGCCCTCAACTATAAGCAGTCAGGCGGCTAGGGGCTTTAGGCCTTATGGGTTATCGAGTTCGCATTTCTCCTAGGTTGTGGATCCAACTTCTCAGGAAATTGGACTGCAGTGGACCTAAAGGGCCGTCACAAAGTGCGAAGGGAGCTTCAAGCCTGTGCCGGGTGTGCCAAAACCGCAAATCCTAAGCCCGATACAAAACCAGGCTCATGAATCAAAGACCCCTATGCCTAGAGCCCCAAAACCCTAAAGCCGAGGGCCTAGAAACCACAGCGCTCAAATTTGAGGCCCAAAACCAAGGCCCTGAGGCTCTAAACCCGAGACTCGCCTTTCGATAACAGGAAGGATGAAGTCGCGATCACTCGGGTTGCTGCACCTCTCCAGATTCGCGTTTAAGGTTTAGGGGGAAACGGTTACGGTCAAGAGGTTTTCGGGCTTTGGGAGATTCGAAAGGTCTGTCGATGGGTGCTATAAAACAGGAACCTTCATCCCAGAACCCTTATAGCATCCGATCCTTAAAGGAACTCTTAGCGTACCCTTCTAGCAAGCTCTTAAAGGAACCCTTTTAGTACCCTTATAGGAAACTTTAATGAACAGCATTGCGACTTGCTCGCGAAAGGAGCCGAAGCTCTGCAGGCCACCTAGCTTTTAGGGTTTACGACTTAGCGAAGCCTCAAAAAGTCACATCACATCGCAGGATGGAAGGAATCTTGTAAGCATACGTGCTCTTCGCCCGAAAATGGGATATCGACGTTGTAAGAAGCCTCGACATCGCAACTTAACAAGGCTTCTTGCAAGTATGCGACGTAAGGGTTCCATTAGAATCCCAGAACGACGCCCCCAAAACACACCCTCTCCAAAATTCCTACGCCGTAAGGGGTCGGGCGAAGCTTCCCACTCGTTGTTTAAGAATTGAAATCATTCGGCCCTTGCATAGGACGAACTGTTAAGGCACAGGGGTTTAGGGTTTAGGGGTGAATCGGGTTCTGGGTTTTGGGCTTGCGCTAACCCAAATCCCAGGTTGCACAGCGGCAGTTAGGACATGGGTACACAAACAGGAAGCTTCAATAGCAGGAGAGTACTTGTACTCCCACCGCCCACCCGCAACTGCCTGTGGACTCAGGACACGTCGTAGCAACCCGAAACCTCAAGCCCGTAAACCATAGACCCCTCACCCCCTTTTTGCAAGTGGGCTTGGGGACTGGCCAGATTCTTGCATCACGGCCTTCATAATGAAATCCCTTTTTGCATCCAGGCCTATTGCGACTGCCTGGTAATGAAATTCCTAAAACCCTAAACCCCTAAAACCCTAAAGCCCTAAAATCCCTAAATCCCTAAAACCCTAAAGCCCTAAAGCCCCAAAGCCCTAAAACCCCTAAATCCCTAAAACCCTAAACTGAACCCTCCAGGGCGCTTCAGGGAAGAGAGCTGGAAAGTCCGCAGCTCATCCAGCAACTTGTCCCTGGTGCGGCAGTTCCTGGCCCATCACACTTTGGCTCGGGGGCTTTGCCACCCTAAATCCCAAGCAGATTGCCCCTTCCGTAGATCGTATTTCAGGCCAGGGATAGGAAACACTAGACTTTTTGAGAGATGTTCCTTGATTCAGGGTACGTTGGGCTAAATGGATCCGGGGTTCGGTGGGGTGCTTGGGGCTCTGGGGCTTAAGCACTGCTAGGGCTTTATGGTTTATGCTTTCGGGATTTCGCTGGTTTGGGGGATGTGAAGCCTGTGACATCATACATCACCCTGATTGGCCAGGCCAACTAGCCAAAACACAATCATAACTAATCAAGCAAAGTAGCGAGGCACCATCATCACCAATCACCATGCCCCCCTGAATGTCTTTTGAGGATTCTGATTTCGAAGTTGGCCTTGACATTTTCTGTCGAACTTGAAACCCAAAAGGGCAACCTAGAAGAGTGGGCTTATGTGTATATATATATATATGTATGTATGTATATATGTATGTACAAACATACATGCATGCATACATACATCACACACAAGAATATAGAGAGAGAGAGCTATATGGATTGGCAATAACTAGATGTGACCTTCTTTATTTCTGACAGGCTAAGCTACTCAGGTCCTTCAGCAAAGCTCTTGGTCTCTGAGCCCTGTGCCTTCTGAGGCTCTGCACCATGGCGGTGAGGGGCAGCATCGTGGGTGCGATCATCCACAGGTTGTTCACACCCAGCCTTCGAAGTCAGGCGCTTCAGCGAGCGGGGGCCGGAGTAGTAAAGTTCAGGGTCGACAGTGCTGCAGGTGTAGGACAGGGTTGGGTTAGGTTTTAGGGTTTCGACTCCTACTTGAAAGTTTATGGTGTGGTGTTCATGTGTTGTGTATGTTCAGTGCAGGCTGGGCCTCAAGAAGCAAACTGGAGTTTTCAAGGTATTCGGCTATACTGGCATAAGGACTAAACAAAGAGCATCAAAGAGTCAACAAGCCGTAAGAAGTAGAACAGGATTTTGGGCTACATTGTCCTACAACTGCAGTAAGGAACCCCAAAGAAGAATAACAAAACAAACATTCAGGCCCCATTTTATTGATGCGCCGACTCCTTTATTGCACTGGGTTTGAGCTGGGGGTTTGGGCGCCGATTTCTTCGTGCTGGATGTGGGCTGTTCCAGCCCGAGGCTTCCACCAAACCATCGATTAGGCTTCCTAACCTAAGTTTGGGGTTTCCACGCTTCGATGCCTGGCTGTTATGTCTGGTATGCGGTGCTTGCCGTTCACCTTCGGCGCTTGTAGTTTGGCTCAGAAGTCTGAACAAAAATAGAACCCTCCAAGCCATCGCTCGGAAGCCAAGAGCGCACACCCAGAAGCCAAGACAGCACACCCCACTTCCAAGAGCATCCGACAACTACCTTTATGCTGTTACTCGGTCACTTCATATGACCTGAGGGGCACTTCAGCACGCGGCCACGGCACGCCATCGCGCACCAGATTGCCCAGGATGCTATATGGACGCCGAAGTAGAGGATGACAACACTCTTGCTCATGAACCTGGACAACCGAAGCATGATTGAGGTATAGTGGGGGAGCCTGTTGCTTATCGGAGGAGGTGTGCGGAACCCTGGACGACAAGATAAAGACCTTCCGCACGCGCAAGAGCCCCAAAAACAGGAGATGCCTATAGCCTTGTGCAGGTTTGCAAAGTTTATACTGTGGCAGCAGGGGGCAAAGGCAGGACGCGGATGCGACCGCTGGCGTTGCCGATGCGGAAGGCAGCAATTTCGAAGACGCACCAGAGCCTCTGCAATCAATTTGTGACGTTTAGGGCCCTAGACCCGAAAAACCGACAATCAGAGTCCGGGGATCTGATCATGTATTAGGGATATCTTTGCCACGTGCTAAACGTCGAGGAACTTATGACGCACACATCTTGCACCCTACATGGAAAGCAGGCTCACTCGTCAGCTCCTTGACATCGACTTGTCACCACTCCAGAAGTACTCTCAAACTCAAGCCTCCACCTCCAGCAACCAGATGCCCTGCAGCAAGAACCAACCTTAGCCTACCATTTCTGTGTAAAGTAAAAGCCAGAAAGTTGGAATATGATAACCCTTTATGGTAAAATATAAGGTATCCTACCCTGAAACCATATTCCAACTTTCTGGAGTTCCCTTTAAGGTGCTAGTTCAAGCCCAGAGATGACTCTCCCAGGACCAACGGACGCACTGCCTCTCTGATATCGGTAGTGTCTGCTGAATCGCGTGTAAACGCTGATGTGGGAAAACTTCATGGGGACTCCATAAAATGGTGGTAGGTTTTGGTTGGCTAAAGTAGAAGTGCGCCTGGAAAGGTACTGCGGGCTCCACAGCAGCCACAGCTCCTTCGAGACCTTCGCTGGCTCTGAATTCTCTTGGCTCGGCCGTTTGCTCAGGCTTGATACAATAGGTTCGAGTACGGTTAATATAGGGGCCTTCATAACTAGAATAGGGTGTTGGGGCCCATTATACTAGAATTATAATCAGGAACCCCCAAAAACTCTTGGTAACTATTTAGTCCTCTATAGTAGATGGAAAGACCGATCGATACCACGGACCGGTAGATCGGTGGATCGGTTGATAGATAGAACGATGGATCGAAGGATAGCTCGCTAACTAATGTAGGAACCTGATTAAGAAACCCTGGGCCAAGAACTCCAAAATCCAAAACAGTAGGCTTCATACAAGGGGCCCTAATACAGGCCCAAGGTTTCTTAATCAGGTTCCTACATTAGACAGACAGACAGACAAATAAATAGATAGAGCCGTCCATCGATGGATTGACAGGTCGATAGAGACATCGATAAGTCGATGGATGGATCGACAAAGAGATACGCAGATAGGTAGAGGCACGTACAAACAGCGGAGATAGATAGACGTAGGTGGGGATACACAGTGCCAGATATGGCTGTAGATGTATAGGCATGTAAGGTTTTACATATGTGCAGCATACAGATACGTGTATATATATATATATAGTTATATAATGGTCATGTATCGGTACACAAATGCACATTTGTAGACGAATACAGAAGGCAGATACTTAGACATAGGCATAGGCATAAACGTACACATATATGTCTAGATGTTCGACATATCTAAGTTCGACATCAAGCACTACATACCAGATGTTACAAGTAGGGATGAGATATGAGATATCGGATACTCCATATGGACATACATGCAAATCTGTGTAGGTTCGATACTGAAGATATAGACACAAACATAAATATGGAAGTGAGTTTAGGTTTAGTCTTCGACATAGTAATTTCCGATGTTAGACTGCACTACCTCTTCTTGCCGCGATCCCAGAGACGAAGGTAGAGGACCCAGAACCGAGAAGCGCCTTGCGACTTCAACTAAACCCCGGGGAAACCTGAAGGCATGCCTTTTATTCGTATATGTGAGATGAATAAATAAGAAATATGGAAAAGATGCTGTTGCAAGGGTTGCTTCAGCTAAAGTTGCAGTCTTTCGGGCTGGGGCGGGTGGATTGCATGGCATTTGCGAGTCTTCGCGATTGAGGTGTAGTATCTCTTCGCCCAGAACTCAGTCTGAAATCCCAAATTCAATACTGTAACCTTTTCAGTGTATGGTCCCAATGAAAGCAGGCTGGAACCTGAAGAACTAGGTTCTGCAGGGCCCAGCCAGAGCTTAAAACCGGAAGGAATGCCTGGAGGAAGCCACCGATGCTGTAGATGGCGCGCTTCCTCCTTGGTGAATCCGAAAGCCTGGAAACTTATCTAGCCTGGCATTGATGTTCGCAGCCTATCCATATCTTAAAGCTGAACTCAGGTGGATCAGTTCTACCGCCAAACACTGCTTGCTGCATGTCTCCAAACTGAAGCTAGGCTTTGACATCCCGAAAACCTTGAACCTTAACCGTGGATATTGCGGTCGTCTGGAGGCACTTGATGCCCAGGGTAAGCAATTAACTCCTGCAGCCTCCACCCTGGCCCTGGGTGCTGTCAAGCTTCGGGTCCGGGGTTGAGGGGAGTATCATCACCAAAGCTTAGGGCTTAGGGTTTTCACGCTTTCGCCATTCGCTTCTTCGTGCTCACAAGAGAGAGTGAGAAGAACATATTCCCCAGGAGCCATAGGAATGCCACAGCTCAAAGTGCCCCTGAAACACTGCAACTCTACCTGGGACGGGTCCTTAGCACTGATCAATCGCCTTCTTCATCAGGGGTAAACACAGTTTTGGAAAACCCCAACATTTACACGGTTTCATATGGAATCTTTTCATATTCACAGAACAGTTAACCCCGAAACCGTCCCTCATCTTGTGCTGTCGTCCCAAACGACATCGATGCGACCGCGTCTCAGTTGTGGGTTCGACTGATGGACACAAGCCATGTCCATGAAAACGGCGGCACTGCCTCCACGCTGTCGGCAAGGCTGTAAGGAATCAAGCAGCTCTCGGCTTTCGGGTTCAGGAGGTTGCAGCAAACCAGGACAAGCTTCAGACATAATGCAACATTCCAGCAATTCCAGCCAGGCCAGACCCTCTCCGGCCTGGAGACGTTTGCCACGCTACTGTGGATATGACCCAAGTCTGTGTAGGCGCTAAACGTCATTTGGGGTTGAGGATCTGGGGCCAAGGATAATGCGAATTCGTGAATTCAATCTGCATCAGCTGGTGTTGGCTAAATAGCCATCGGCAGCTCTTAGGGGACTACACACAAAGCGTCGTTAGGTGAAGGGCGACAAATGAAGTGCTAGCTGGTTTGTTTCTGGCCATCACATGGGATTGCTACTGTTCAACCCTCGACCCTCAACCCTATGCCCTGAACGCATCAGTGTAAGCCGGTCAGCTAGGCGGGTGTCTACAAAGATATCCGAGAGTCATCCTGCAGAGCAATGGTTGTATCGTGCTCGAACCAGCCCCCACCAATCCACCCGAAACACGAACCTGAACCAGCCGACCATTCGATTGATGTTTCTCTCAATCACATGTCCAAGCCTGGGAGGACCGTAGACAACCACATGCCCAGACAAATTCCCAGAATTGACGTCGCCAGTATCCTGGGCAGACTTTCGTTCATAATAGGGCTAAACTGTACTTACTAAGTCCCACGAACCTCCAAGTAGACCCTAAACCCTGAACCCTACAGATCCCTTTAAGGAGCCTACAGATCCCTTTAAGGAACCCTATAGATCCCTTTAAGGAACCCTTTAGATCCCTTTGAGGAGCCTTTTCAGGAGCTCTTTACTACAGCTGCCAGGGCCAGGGGCTTTGGTCCAGGTCGTTCGGATGTAGGGCCCTGGCAGAAGCTACTCGCGAAATTCCCTAAACCTTAATTGGGTTTAGGGTTTAGGGCTTTAGGGGTTTAGGGTTTCAGGGGTTTAGGGTTACTAAACCCTAAACCTCAAAAACTCCCAAACCTAAAAACTCCTGAAACCGGAGCCTTAAACCCGAATCCTCAAGCGTGAGCCCAGACCCTGAAGAGGTGGCCCACAGAAGACTAGATCCCACGAGACTGATTTAGGTTTCGAGGTATGAGGCCTTCGGGTTCAGGGTTAAAGGTGTAGGGTATACGGCTCAGGGTTTAGGGTTTAGGGTTTAGGATGCAGTTTTTGTTTTGGTTTGGGGTTGGGGGTCTAGGGTGTATATTATGTGGAAGCAACGCCAAAAAGCACAAGAAGGATGATGCCAAAGATGTTCCAAGAGTCCAACAGCTGAGTGGGTTTCTTTCTTCGCGCGAGCCTTCGGGGGACGAATTAACGCAGTTGTTGGGCTCGGATTTTGCTTTCAAGCCGGGGTGGATCAAAACCCATTTTTGCATCCAGGGTTGCTGCGACTGTCGGGTACCCCCAAACCCCTTTTCAGCACGGACTGAAGTGCCCTTAACCTCGTTTGGTATTTAAAATGCGGCAATCACACTTGGACTGGCGAGGATTGGTGTGACGGTGGGGCCCCGTGCAAAACGCAATAAGCACTGCGAAGCCCTCTGTTCCGTTTTTGGAGAGGGGGTTTTTTCCCTCCTACCTAGCAAGGACGAAGCCCGCATTGCAGGGAGTCTCGGAGAGGGGGGTTAGGATTTAGGCTTTAAGGTTTATGGGAATTGCTTCTAATTCCTCAGCCCATGGCCGCGTGCAAAGCCGTAAGCTCTGATCCTTGTGCCCTAAGTCGTGAATCCTGGGCATGGAGTGAACACTGCTGACCCCCCTAAACCCGAAACCCTGAACCGGGCCGTTGATAAACGGCATGGGCAGGATCTCAACCAAGCCAAGCGTGAAGAAGACGCCTGAGCTGCATGATTCGGGTTTGGCGCTGCTTTTCTAGAGCTCTCAGTTTGGGGCAAGGTCCCTGATATGACTTGAGGTATATTCCTGAATGAAATGGTTATGGAACCTAAGCAGTAATTACAACTTCATTCGTGGAGGCACCCCTGAATATGCTATCAGGCATGTTCCTTCACTCAGTGGCTTTGGAAGTCTCTAGGTTCAGGGTCTTCTACATTGTACTCGTGATTGTTAGCTGGTCGGGTCTGGGTTCCCAGTAACTTGAGCCTACCCTATTGGAAGCCCTGCACCCTAGATCCCAAACCCTAAACCCTAAACCCTAGATCCTAGATCCCAAAACGTTGCAGCTTCAGGGGACCTGGTGTGAGAGACTTTTCGGCCTCCGCACTTGGAGCCCGCCGGAGCAGCAACGTGCGAAGCAGCGTGCAGTATGACAGCGATGATGCTTGCAGTCGCGATGGTACCACAGACAAACCCTCAGGGACCAACAGCTAAAAGTTACGGTTGCGACTCATTCTCTCGCACAAGGCAGGCATGGCTTCGTGTCGGCTGAGCTTGCTACCTTAACATCAAGGGAGGGGCGGCGGTGATACTGCCCAGGGCCGCAACAAACAAGAACGTAAGGTTTAGGGTCAAGGCTTCAGGGTGTAGCGGCTGGGGTTACCTACGGTTGCTAAACCCGAAACCTACGTGTTTCGAGCAGCACGGCCGTTTCATTGCAAGTGTGTATGCATTTACCCTCTCAGTTGTGACAGAAGCTTAGATCACAAACCCTGGGCGTCAAACTTCCAGCGCCCGAACCCAAAACCGCGACATCCCCAACTCAAAGCACCTCAAACCCTAAACCGCTGTGCCTGAAAACACCGACAAGGGACAAAAACTCGTAACACACAGGAAATCCCGCGAAAAACTGTTGAACAAACTCTGCGAAAGTCCTGGAACCGAATGCATGCGCCAGCGGCATGCGACCAAAAGCCAGCAGGCCAACAGAAGGGGCCTCAAAGCGGTCGGGATTTTGGGGTTGTAATACCAGGGCCTTAGTAATTAGAACAGGGCTTTGGGGTATACTATACTATACTTATAATAGGGAACCACCAAAAGAGTATTGGTAATTTTTTAGGCCCCAATATTGGTTGTTACATGAGCTTTAACTGCTGTGTATGGGCTTCGCGAGATTTGTGGGTTTCGGTGGTGGTGCTGCTGGTGGTGCTGGTGGGTGGTGGTGGTGGTCTTGGCATAGTTCTTAGTCGAATCGTTGCTACTTGCTCCTTTCATTGGAGCATTCCAACACGGACAAAAGGAGAAAGACCCTAGTCCGCAACCAGAAAAACCGGCTTCCTTCAGGCGTAGCTAGAGCATTGTCTGCAGTATCAATGGCCCTCGTAAGTTTTTTCTTTAAGCTCCTTTGTAATGTCTGCCAGGTAGGCCAGCAGGCCAGGAGTCCCAGGGTTTAGGGTCGAAGGATTAGTGCATCGCTTGGCTTGTAGAACTTTCAACCAAAGCTACACTCGAGCCTCTCCAGTGTCAAAATGCTGCCAAGCCGCCAGCTTATATAAGCAGAAATTCTATGCCCAAACTTGGAAACATGACTTAAAAGGTCGTCGCATTGTGGGTTCAGGGTCTAGGGCTGCCCGGCAAGGCAACAGAACTCCCCAAGTCCAGATGGCGCAGCTAAATGAAACCCTACACAGATCCCTTCATTGCAGGGGAGTCCCTTATGCCATCGGCGCTAACCTCGACACCCGCAAACGCTACTCCACCGGCCACCCCAATAGTAAGACTATTCATCAACAGCCAGGTTAGCAACAAAACAACCAAGTGCAGAACTACTGTACCAGCAACACCCTAAATCCTGAAACGGTAAAACCCCTAAACCCTAGTACGTCATACGTCCAAGCTGCCAGGATGTCTGCAGCGTGAGCGCGACCACTTTCGAAGAGCCGTCGGCATCCCAGTTGTGAGACAAGAAGGCCCCCAGAGCCTGTACGGCGTTGAGAGATTAAGGTTTAAGAAGGGCATAGGGTGTTGGGTATGAGGCTCGGTTTCATCAAGGTCGACATACTGCCTGGTCCCCCATAACACGTACAAGGTTTATCAGGACCTGCAAATTTAATGCGGTCTGTATGTGTGCCACCACTGCAATCTACATACGAAATGCTATATACAGTACATAATCTAAACTATGTACTATATACTCAGTATGTATATCTTTGGTATATCTCTGTGCGTGCCTGTGCATGCTATACGACAGGTTTTGAGCATTTGCCTAATGCCCCTTGTCGGGCACAAGGAATAGAAGTCTGAGTATTTTCTGGTATCCTACACCCTAGACCCCTCAAGTTGGCCGTGAAAACAAAGCCGTCCTAAGCGCCCACAACATAAGCTGAACCCTGAACCCGAACAGGAGCCTTAATATGCACGGCTCAGAAAACGGTGGAACCTTGTCGAGAATGCGATATAATATAAGAAGGTCCTTCAATTACACCACTAACTACTCCCTAAACTCAACCTTAAATCCCTAAACCCTGATGTTGAACCTGCCCAAACTTTTCCATCCGTCGGACTGGCTTGGGTTTTACTCCAAAGGAACCGCCTCCACAGGCTTCGACTGACCGTAGAGCTCTTCGCCCTCCTGTCGAGCTAATGGAGGGCTTAAACCCTAAACTCTAAACCCTAAACCCTGAACCCTAAACTCTAAACTAACCCTAAACTCTAAACCCTAAACCCTGAACCCCAAACCACTCCTAAACCCTAAGCCCTGAACCCTGAAGTAGAGGTTGAGTGGTTTGGGAGGTTGGGGGGTTCAGACAGAAGGCTTGGATTGAAGATTCAGGATTCGGGTGCTCTCAACCCTAAGAGCCGCGGGGGTTGTCAGGACAAGGAGATAGGAAATTGGGTTTAGGATTTCGGGCTTAGGGCTTAGGGTATAAATATAAAGTGTGGGGGGGGTGCGTCGCAGGTACTTGTTTCAATGACGCCAGATTCTGTTAAAAAATGTACCCTTTATGCAAGAGCTTCTTGGAATGTGTCTTGACCTCCGTCCCCAAACCCTAAAATGACCCCAAAAGCCAACAAACACCTAAAGCCCCACATCTGCCAGACGAGAACACCGGGGAGTTTCCAAAAAACGCAACCCACAGAGACCCCATATAGTAGAATCACAGTACAAGGACCCCCCTTTTTCAAAGACCACATCTCCTCGTGCGAGATGATGGCTCTGCGTCTCCACATTCCCAGCCGAAGTAACTTCCGCATGGAAATGGCACGGAGCACTCCCTGGTCGACCTTTAAATGGGCGGTTTCCGAAAATTAGGGGTTCCTTGTTTTGGGGGTCCTTGTAAGAAGGATTAGGGTTCCCTATTTCCGGAAACTCCCAAATGGGTTTAGGCTTTAGGGTTGAGGGCTGCGTGCGGAAGGTAGTTTGCTGTGAGTTTTTAGTTTGGGGGTTCTGGATAATGCGGCAGTACGTGTGGAACTTCCTCCAAACATACATACCCAGAGAGCCCGATACACAGTAATGAAGGAAGAATCCTGCAAGGACATCGGGCTCCACATCATGATTGAAGGACCTTGATCAATTCAGGTATCTAGGGAACTCTCGGGTGCAGGGGACGGATACGGACGAGTGCAGGTTTGGGAGCAGGGTTTACTCAGTACTGATCTTAGCGGTTTGGTCAAACGGCTTGGTGCATTGCACACAACCAAAATCGCAACAAGACTGCGCCTGGGGCCCCTGCAGCCCCAAACTTTCAAAGCCACCCGAGCTGACAGGCGAAAGAGTCCGCGAAAGTCATAAAACGACAGAGCGAAGATGAAAAAGTAAGCCCTTCTTGCTACTGGACTCAAGTCTAGCTATACGAAACTCTAAATCCTAAACTAAAGAACAAGAAGTAAACCCCAAACCCTAAAGCCAAAGCAACACAATGAAACCCTAAAGCCCAAAACCAAAGCAACAGCCTGCAACGACAACAAAGTAAGTCACTGCCCCTTCGAGCCTTCCCTGCTCTTCGGTTTTCGTCAGGCAACCCCAAAAGGGTACTACCGGGGAACCTACCTTTATCCCTAAGCCCCTGAAAGTGTAAGGAACCCTGGAGGATCCAGAAGGCCAAGGATCTCCGAGGGTGGGCCGGCGAGCTTGAAGGTCAATGACCTACCATCGGAGGGCGGAGGGAAATATCGGGGGGGGGGGGGGGTTTAGGGCTTAGGGGTTCGGGGTTTAGGGGTTCGGGGTTTCAGGGGTTCAGGGTTTCAGGGCTGAGGGGTTTGGGGGGTTAAGGGTTTCGACTCGCACACAATCGCAAAGCAGGCACGGATCCAGGCAGCAGGTCAGAAGTCGGGATTGGGTTCAGGGTTTACTTGGGGTTTAGGGGTTTACGCTCTCGCAACTCGGACGCATCCAGACGAGGTTCTTGGTCGGCAACGGGTTCAGTCACATCGGCTCTTGGTGAAGACAGCTCAAAGCAGAAGTTAGGGCCACAAAGGATGCCGCCCCGGTTTAGGGGTTTAGGGTCTGAGGGTTTTGGGGAGTTTATAGGAACCCTAGACCCTCAATAGGGTTGCTGTTGGGGTTCTTATTGTAGGTTTTTTTAGTCGGGCCTGGGGGCGTAGGGGACTCATTCGTCCTCCCCATTTTTTAAGAAGTAGTCAAGTGAACTGTGTCGGCACTGTTCTGGCCGTTATTGTCAACTGCTAAAGCGGTTCTTGCGAGTTTCGGGGATCGACATTGCGGATGAGACAAGGTTTAGGATCGCGATCTAAAGCCCCGAATATGGGGCTTAAGCTTCGGGCTTCGAGGTTTGGTTCTGGTGCTTCGGTGCTCCTCCGTGCGGCGCCGGGCGGTTTCGTTGTATTGGGGGGCGCTTTTAGAGTGGCCACGGGGTGCGGCCATGCTTTGCACGCTTCCAGTTGTCTCCTCACTGTTTCGGGTCTGGCAGAAGCTCGAGCTTCCATAACTATCAAGGCGGCACGCAATAGTAACATGCCTTCTTGATTCTGGGTAACTTAAAGACGGCTACGTTCCTCAACACGAACCCAGCTGCGCTGAACCCTAAACCCTAAACCCTAAACCGTGCACCCTGACGGTGCCTGAGCCGGAGCCGGGACCGGCTCGCTCGACTCCTGGGAGTATCCGAAAGGTGGTTGCGAAGAGAGCAAGAATAGTGTAGAGGCCGTCTAAGTCAAGCTCTAGGGTTAGAATGTGGCTTGGTCAGGGATTTTGCTCAACGATTCAGGCTTCAAGGTCTGTGAAAGCAGCAATTCACGCTCGAAGCTCGCATCAGAATCAGAATGGGCAGGAGACGAAGACGAAGAAGCATTAAACGAAAAAGAATGAACACACTGAGAAGGGCGGCTTTCTGACAGAACCACCACCACCACCACCACCACCAGCAGCAACAACAACTCCAGGCAAACCACAAATCGGTCAGAAGATCGAGGTGACTGGTGCACAGGAACCACGGGAAAAGACTCCGTAGGTAAGTGACAGCTCATGACGACCTGGGACGAAGGGATCCTAAACCCTAAACCGCCTCGGGATGCTAAGCAGGGTTTCCTACTTTCCAAATGGTGCAGTAAACCTTTTTGGATTTTATCAGTACTATATGCCGGGATTTTCCGAAGTTTTTAAAGGTTACTTACCGACTAATGACTCAGTAAGTTCTGGAGGAACGTTCTATGCGATGTGAACCTGCAGCGCCAAGTGCTGAAAAGGAGAAAAGCCAACCATGAAGCGAACGAACCTCAACTCCTAACCCTGAAATTTCATTTATATATCCTGATGGCTAAGTACGACTCTATTGAGGATGGCAGCAAGTGCAATCTGCCCTCTCTTCCAGACCCTATCGCGGCGAGTCACAGAGCATGGGGACACCGGCGCTGACGCTATCGGAGCGAACACGTCCTTGCCACGACACTGGAATTTCAGGGTTGAGGCTGGTACCGGGCACAGGGGGCTTGTATACGGGCACCATAAGTGAAAATGAGATCCGATTTTCGAACTTTATATGAAAACTCCCCTGTAGCCTCAACCCAAAATCCACGCAAATCCGAAACCCCAACCCTAAACCGTCCCAGTCCCAACCCCAAACCGTCAAACAACCTTAACCTCACAAAGCCCGACGGGCCCGAAGCACCTTAAACCCCAACAGAGAGCACCAAGCTTCCGAAGGTTCGGACATCATGCTGCGGGACTGCAGCGTCTCGGCCTCAGGAAATCTGAGGCTTCGCGCGTTAAGCTCGCATCTAAGGCTTGTTTGCTACCCTTCAAGGCTTGGGGTCAGGGGTTTTTACCCCTTAAACCCTGAACGCTAAGTGCAGGGTTCGGGGAAATGCGCTTTAGGGTGCAAAGGGCTTGGGAATTTGATACGTTAATCCTAAACCGTAAACCCTGACCCTGAGTTATAGTCCTACAGTACCCTAACAAGAACCCCTCAACCCTGGAACCATCGCTCCGAAGACTTGAGCCCAGGATCGGAGGTCCCTTTCTTCGCAACCAGGCTGTCTGCAGCGACCGTCTCAATCTGCGGGGCCCAGCCGGCTTAAAGTTTGGGTTTTAGGGTTTAGGGTTTAGGGGTTTAGGGGGTTTAGGGGTTTAGGGTTTGCTTTTAAAGGGTTCCTTTAAGGGCTCTCGTATCTTAGCATAAGAGGTAGGCTTGATAAAGATATTAGTTGCAGCAGCTTCGGGGTTTACGTAGCAGGTAAAGAATGAAGGGGTGCTCTGACCAGTCTCTGACTTGTTCTTCCTGACCTACACACTACGGAGTTACAAAGGCTTAATGACTTCAATGCAGGCTCTCTAGGACGACATCAGTTTTGAAGGGGGCTTTTGCAGGATACTGGAGATGCTGCATATCCAATCGATGTTATCTTGTCCGAAAACCCTCAAATGCTCGCCGATACTCTTACCTGAAACCTTGTAAACACCGCACCTCAAATTCAGACCTACGCTGTTCCACCCTTACTGCAAGCCTTAACCCCAAACTCGAAATCCTAAACCCTTCCCTTCACTAAACCGCAACGCTAAACCTTGAACCCTATATGACCCCTACCCTTGAGCCCTACTGAAGCTTTCAGGAAACCTCTCGGATGATGGCAGATTCGCAGCAGCCCAGGGTTCTCAGTGGAGCCACTCTTTTTGATGGGCTGGGGCTGGGAATTGAAATGACGGGTACGATTTGGGTTGGGGATTTAAGGTTTAGGGCTTGAGGTTTACATGTCTTCAGGGTGTGTGAATGCTGTTTAAGGGTTTCTTAGGGTGTAGGGACTCATCCAGCTTGTAAAGGCTCTATACGAATTCTTTCAGCAAGGATGTTCGGGGACTTGGGGGCTAAATTGGCGTTTCCGAAAATTAGGGGTGCCGTCTTTTGGGGTCCTTGTAAGAAGGCTCCTACTATTTAGGGTACTATATTAGGGTCCCCTATTTTCGGAAACTCCCAAATCTGTGTGTTTGGGGTGTGGTTGTTTTTAAATACGGGGCTCAGATGGAATTATCAAAGTGTGCACCTGAAGTTAACCCTTCCATCCCCACCCTTTCGTTGGGTTGGGAACTTCAACATGCCCAGGAATCCAGGAGGGCGACAAGAGGCCAGGAGCGAATATAGAGGTCCGAAGAATGAGCAATAATTTTCGCGTGTAGTCTGTCTCTTAATTCTACTTTACGACGCGCACAACAGCCTATTCTAAATCATGAAATGGCAACCTCTCTAATTCTACTATAAAGCATTCAAAACCCACTGAAATCATTAAAGCTTCATCTACAGTCTACAACGAACCCTAAAAAGCCACTCTAATCATTCGTTGCACGGACTTGCACATGCCTGCCTGGATCTCAGAGCTGCTGCACTCGTGGCAGGAACCCTGAGCATCTGAAACACTCTAATCATAAAGCTTTTGCCCCCAAACTCTGAACCCTTTTGCATCCAGGCCTCTTCGAACTGCCGGGTACTCCGAGAAGATCAAACCCCTGAACCCTAAATTTTGAACCCCTAAACCCCTGAACCCCTAAAGCCCTAAACCTCTGAACTCTAAAGTTTAAACCCCTAAACCTCTGAACCCTAAAGTTTAAACCCCTGGACCTCTGAACCCTAAAGTTTAAACCCCTGGACCTCTGAACTCTAAAGTTTAAACCCCTGGACCTCTGAACTCTAAAGTTTAAACCCCTAAACCCTCTGCAGTGCTTGCCCAAGACTCTTTGCCGTCGCCGAGCCTGGACCGACGCAGGCCATCGAGGAATTCTCGCATCCTCTCAGAGGGTCTGAGGGTTTGGGGCTGGGTTGAGGGTTTAGGGTTTAGGGTTTAGGGGCTTGGGGTTGAGTCAGAGAGGCTTCGTAGAAAGGGAGCAGAAATGTGTCTTACAATGGCTTCTTTTGGAGTTAGTACCAGGGTGTAGAGTTGAGGGCTTAGGGGGTTTCGCACAAGGGTTAGCAGAGAGGGGTAAGGGTACCTACAGTAAGAGATTGTGACGGCTACTTACCATCATGGCCGATTATGGGGTTACTACAGGGGTTCCTTTACGGGCCATATACTATCATGGGCTGCTGTAAGGGTTGCTACAGTTGCTGCTGTGCTTTGGGGCTGCCCTGCTTCTAGCTTGCAGCTGCAAAGTTCAAAGGGAGTGGAGGTTCAATGGGGACTCAGGGCTCCGCAATTCTGTATACATATATGAAGATACCTGTACATATGACTACAATGTACATATGCACGTACGCATGCTTGCTCTATGCATGTGCGTATGTATGGATGGATGGATTGGATGGATGGTTGCATACGAATGTTCGCACACACTTGCACCCACCCACACACACACACACACACACGCGGACCGATGAACATCCACGTATCTGGTTGCAGCGCCGCTGAGGTCTAGGGGTGCGGAGGCGAGAATCAACCCAGAAACGCTGTAGATATCCTGTAGCTGGAGTTGTTCGGCCTAGGGCTTCATAGTTGCACCGTCGTATGCTGTTGCTCGAGGAACCTACGCCTGAACCGACTTCCCGCCTAAAGAGGCAGGAGCTTGCCCCATTGCTGGCCCGCCGTGAGTTTCGGGGCACCAAAGCCGCTACCCTTCTACTCCCGCATACTACAGTATATTATGGTCTATCAAAGCCTCTTATAAGGATCCCTGTCTTTCTCTTCATACTATAGTATGTTATGGACTACTCGAACCTCTTCCGGGGATCCTTGTACTTCGGCGCTTAGTTTAGGGTGAGTGCTTGGGATCCATCTTCCGACGTATCTCAGGCCGAAGGCTGAGAGGCTCCGGGGATTTGGGTTTAGGGACTTTTGGGCTTAGGGTTGAAGGTAGGGTTTAGGGTTTAGGGTAGGGTTTAGGGTTTAGGGTTAGGGTTTAGGGTTTAGGGCAGGGTTTAGGGCTAGGGTTCAGGGTTTAGGGTAGGGTTTAGGGTAGGGTTTAGGGTTCAAGGCTGAGGCATTGCGTCGAGAATGCCTTGCTCGAGCTTGAAAGGACACATTATAACCTGAAAGAAGGGTGTTATCATGGTGATCTTACTTCTTACAGTTTGGGGTTTAGGGAATCTTAAATTTGAGGCCCCTCCAACTACACTAAACCCGCAAGCTCTTCTTTACTCATAAATCGGGCTTCGCAGGTGCAAGTGCGCTAACGGCTTCGCCGATGCAAGCGCACTAAAACTTGCAATAAAAAAGCCAAAGGCTGCAGCGGAAAGAGGCATACGGTCATGATGTCTGCGCAATGGAGCTTTCGGGTTGTTGCTTTGCCATGACGATGCAGGGAAGACCGTTGTCAAGATGATGAGAATGACGATGATGAGGGTGAGGATGGGGATTTGGACGACGACGACGACGACGAGGTGGTGGATAGAAATGACAGTTTTCATGCTTGTGACTTCTCCTGCGACTGCGACAACGACGGAGCTTACTCTTGCATCGCTGCAAGCGTAACTATAAGAGCCATTGCCATTGCTGCCTGAAAGCATTGTGCAGTGATGCAATATACCTTGACGAAAGAACATCTTTGTAATTGCCTGCTGTCGGCTTCTTCGTGCGTTGAAGGTTCTACTGTCTGGAATGGATTTTCTTTTCCGTGGATCCTTCCTGTATGCTCCATAGGGTCCACCCAAGCAATAAAGTCCACGCGAAACCGTGGACGATCTCACCCCGAGACCCTCCTAAAAAACCAAATTGCAGTCCACTGCCGGCCCAGGTGCTCACCAGAGTCGATCACGGCGTTGGCCTGCAGCGTGCACGATTTACAGGGAACTCCAGAAAGTTGGCATATGGTCTCAGGGTAGGATACCCTATAATTTACCATAGAAGGGTTAGGATAATCATATTCCAACTTTCTGGCTTCTACTGTAGGTGCTAGGGAGCTTGAGGTTCAAGCGGTAGATTCGCACGAACCGGGCCCGAGGCTGCGCTCGATCCCTTTCTAGGCTTTGACAATCGATGTTGGGTCTCTAAGGCTCAATGCAGACCCCCTGGTACATGAACCCCTCTCGCTGAATCAGGGTTCTAAGGAGAATCCAAACATCAACGAACTCAATACAAAAGGTATGTACTGATCAAGGCGCCTACTGTGCTTGCTCTTGGATATGCTCTGCTGATCTCTTTTTCAACCACAGTGCCTCGGGTACTGAACCGAACCACTCCAGGCCCTGAAGTCAAAGTTACGGCAGTTCCGGCTGCCCCGCTCCCTGAACATTAAAGCACAACGCATTTTGCTCGACAGCCTGGGCGATCTTACTATCTGGTTGTTAGTAGGGCTACTAGGGAATATGGAGACCACTATTGGGGATTAAAGAGGGACGACAAAAGGGATCCACTCCCACACTTCCCTACTAAGCACAGGGGAGCTTTTTAATGTGTTTGGGAGCCTCTAGCACTAAGGCGCTCCTTCCTCGGGCACCACACCCCCCAACTGCAAACTCCGAGCCCTACATCCACTACACTGGGTCACTAGCTCAGACGCCTGCCCCTCAAGCCCTAAATCCTAAACCCGAAACCTTCAACCCTAACCGCCAAAATCCAAAACCCAGAGCCCTAAACCCTGAACCCCACCCCTAGTGCCGCCCAAAGCTCGGCACGCAGAAGCTGCATTAGCAGCCCATCAAGGCGGAGGTCGTCGTGGCCTCCGCCGAAAAAAAGGACGAGGGGTTAGGGCTGAGAGGAATCGTTAGGGGTTTAGGGTTTAGGGCTTAGGGTTTAGGGGTTTAGGGGTTGGGGTGAAGCGTTTTAGGGCTTTAGGGTCTTAGGGCTTTAGGGTTTTAAGGTTCAAGGTTTAGGGTTCCGGGTTGCCCAAGGGAGGTCTCCAAGGGGCTCGAGTGGAGCTTCTTTTCAGGGTGCTTTAATGGATTTAGGTTAAGGGGTGCTGAGCTTAATTCGCAAATCCAATATCCTAACTCTGGAGGCCTATGTGATATAATGAAAACATGCTTTGCGGGAATATGATAGTAGAAGTACATGGGGACCAACTCGCGTCTTCATTTAAATGTACGTCAAGGATCCAGTCCCCGTCTTCCCACGTAAACGTCAGCACATCACCTTCACAGATGACGGCTGCGTTAAGCTCAAAGTTGCCTGGCCTTGGTGCTGCCACGACTTCTGCGATGTATGTGTGTGGCTCCGGTCTCGTGAGGCTGAGCACTGTACGGATGCATATCGGCGGGGCATGGGTAGCCATAATCCCCGGTGGGATTGTTCTGAGGGCCATGGTGGGGAGCTGGGGGTGCCCTAAGCCTTTAAACCCCTAATTTAAGTAGGGCTGCGGTCCGCAGGTTTCGGCTAGTAGAAACTCAGGCCAGGGTAGGCTGAGACATATTTCTGGTCTGACCCTCCGTGCAGCAGTTTGGTGATACCACCCCTGGAGCTTCCTGTTAAACGGAATGCGAAACCCTGCACCTCAAACCCTAAGCACGAAACCATGCACCCTACACCTTAACTCCTACATCCTAACCTCCAAACTCCTTCCTTCGAAGGACCCTAAACCCCTAAACTCCCACACTTTAAACCCCCAACCCCCAAACCCTAAACCTTCGAAAGTTTGGTACTTGGTCTTTTGCCGGCGCCTTTGAGGAGGAAGCTGTGCCAGGAGCCATCCTCTGCTTCCTCGAAAGAGGTAATGTAGGGCCCAAAATAAGTAGGATAGGGTTCCTTTACAGTGAACCCCATAAAGTTGGAAGCCGGATTAAGGCAAAATAGTGCTGGGATTCCCTATAAATTAAATTGCTCTTAAGGATCGGGGCTATTGGGTTTCCAACTTTTGGGCTTCTACTGTAGAGGGGTCTATAAGGGCTACCATGCGGGCTATTATAAAGATGTGATGTAGGGCCTTGATAATGAAATTAGGGTTTTGGTGCCTACTATACTATAATCATGATGAGGACCTCCCACAATAGTATTGGTAATTCATCAGGCCCCTTGTATAGTAACCTTTAAGGATTAGGGCTCAGGATTTAGGAATGGACAAAACCCTACATCACTGCAAAGATCTTCAGCACCGGGAATCGTGGTACACACCTTATCTTGGGCTGTAATTCAGGGCTTTGTCCGTCAAGATGAATTGAAGCCCCGCAAGGTTTGGGGTGTTTTGCTTTTGGTTGAAACTCTGTCGAGCTTGCAAGGCCGCTGCCAGCTGCGTGGTAGCATCAGACTGCAGGGACGTGGGATTCGCTGCGGCATGAGACCCTAAACTGCGTCTAAGATCGGAATGCTCTGCCCTGAGCTCCTCGCGCGCCTTAGGGTTAGCAAGCTTCACAGTACCCCCTGTAGTAGCCCCAAATCCTAGACCCCAAACCATAAGCCACCATAAGCCCCTAAAGCCTGGACTCGGGTCTGGAAAGCTACGAGCCCATCGGGCGGCTGGCATGCGTTTAGGGTTTAGGCGCTTCTTCAAGTGCAGAAGGGTTTAGGGCTTAAGGGTTAAGGCTTACTAAGGTCTAGGTATACGAACCCATAGAAGGGATGGAATCGGATACGGTTGAGAAGAGTTTTGGAAGAGTCTCACACAGATGTTGCACTAAGGAGTTCAAGCCCTGCGCCCCAAAACCTTAAACCCTTCACCCTAAGCCAAAAAACCTCAAAACACCTGAAAGATTTCGGGAGTTGAGGTTTGGTTTTTGGATGTCGGATTCGAGGTTGCAGCTGCGGCTCCGTGGACGCGGGGCTTCGGATACTTGGACCCGAGCTATCAAGAATAAGCATTTCGCTGCTAACATGATCTTTGAGAAGAAGTAATCCCAAACCCTACACCCTTCTAGAGCCCGTGAAGGAAGACTTTCCAAGAATAATAGCTCGTGCTGCGCTGAAAGCTTTGCTGCTGTTGGTTGCTCGGGCTCTCAGGGCTTGGCAAAAAGCTGCCCTGGGTGTGTGGGGTTCAGCGTCTCTATTCAAAAGCTTAGCTTAGGGTTTTTAACCCTGAACTCGGAACTATAGGGCTATGAGGATAGGGTGTTGGGGGTTCGGGTCTCTATTTCCGAAAACCTTTCCGTCTGGAGGGTTAGGCCCCAGAGTTACAGGGGTCATGACCTAGGATTCTGCAGGGTTTGGGGCTGCAGGTGGGGTTTGGGGCTTCAGTTTAGATGTTCGTTTCGGTGGTTCAGGGTGCTCTCAGAGTGTAAGGCTTTGTGTTCAGGGCTAAAGGCTTCTTCGTCCAGGGATTCATGGTTTCTACAGTATCGACAAGCATCGAAGTCCAACTTCTTGGGCTTCGTCTTCGTAGACAGCATCTGCACGGTCCTTGTGAACTTGAAGGGCATCAAGGTAGCTGATTATGGTCATGTTGGACGAGTTCCGCTTGCAAGAAGTTCTAAGATCCACATGTAGCGACCAGCTGGAACTAGGGCCGCCTTTTTTCCTCCGGCTTTTAGGGGCCAAATCCCGGTTCTGAACACGACGGAGGCTCGTCACAGGCCAATAAACGCAAGATGGGGGACAAGATTGCTTCGGGGCACGTTCTAGGACGATCATCACATGGAACCTAGTACAGGAGAAGACTAGTACTCGATTTTTCGACCACTTAGGGCCTTTTGGACGAGAACCCTGCACCGGCACGACACCCAACCCGCAGTCAGCCCTAACTCGATTCCGAATTTCTAAGGTCCATCACCCAAGGCCCAGAAATCATCTAGACTTGGGGGCTCAACGGCTTAGGGAGTTTAGGGGCTCAATACTTCCCATGTGCTGGTGGTGTAATGTAGGGGCCGTAAACGGTCAGAATGGGGCTTTGGTGTCGGGAGAGTGATACTGTCCCCATGCAAGGACTAGGAGGGCATACTATTGAATACTACTACCAATCATTCCGACGTCTGTCTTGCGGCTTTGCGGGTTAGTTTTACCAACCTTCTCAGCCTATAGGGTACATGGTACCCTAAACCCGAAACCTTCTCAGCCAGGCATCTGAGAAGCACGGCGAAGATACATCAGACCACCTTGGTTTCGAGGCCGGACTTTTCAAGGAATCATTGAGGTTTATATCCGGTGCTCAGACTCGGTTTTAGGGTTTAGGGTTTCAAAGTTTGAGGGGTTTAGGGTTTAGGGTACTGCAAAGGGTTTCGGTGCTCACACTCGGTTTTAGGGTTTCGGCGCTCACACTCGGACAATCCAGGCGAGGCATATAGTTTTAGGGTTTGGGGTTTCAGGGTTTAGGGTCTAGGGCACTGCAAGAAGCCCCTCAGACCCAGAATACAAGAGCATGCTGCGGTTCACAGCCAAAACCCTTAAGAAAGAAGCCGCACAGCAAGGAGCCAGGGCAAAACGCGAGAGCGCATCAGGAACCCTTCATCCACCCAGCCGACCGGGCCCAAACTTTGGGTTTACACTTTTAAAACGTGGCGTCTAAGGATGAAAGCATGGTTTCGGGGTCAGGCATTAAGGCTTTCTGGCTTTGGGGCTGGAGGGGTTACGGGTCTTCAAGGTTTCCCCTTCTCCTTCCGGGGCACCTTGATCAGCGGTTCCCGCCTGCGCAGCAAGCTCGCAAGAGAGAGGAAGGCTGCGTTGAACTGTGCTGGCCAATTGGGGCTCGTTCTTCGTACTTTGGGCGTCCGACGGGCTGGGATCACTCGGACTGGAAAGCGTCATTTCCGAGTGCTTTGTTGTTGAGGGTTCGATGGCAGAGTCCACATCTCGAAGTTCTTTCTACGGCGTTGAGGCAGATTTGTACTCTAACTGAAGTAAGTTACGGTGAATACGTCAGGGAAATGTCCCGATTACCGCGGCTCATTATTCCTGCTGACCTTCCCTTTTTCGGGCTGAGGGTGTTGATGCCACTTCTTGCGGCCGCATCTATCAGCCCAAGGCTTTTCACTACGTGGTGACTCACGAGCTCTGCACGAATTCTGTTGTAGGGTGAGGGTCGAGGATTCCGAGCTTCTGGTAGACCCCTGATGGATAAACCCCGTTTCGTTGAGGGACGAATTACGTTCATCTGGGTGATTCAGAGAACTTCCCTTCCGAACCTGCGTCGGGATGGGCAGGACCACATCGGCAGTGCTTCTGCCAGACGACTTCTGAAACCTGCCATTTGCACGGCAAGGCGCTGAACCCTAAACTATCCGGGCGTTAACCAGTAATCTTATCCCAAACCAAACCCTGAACCGCAACCCCGAAGTCCTGCAGCTAATTGAATTTCCAAGCGCTTGAACTTTAGCATCTTCCAAGGAGGCTTCATCGCACAAATGGTCTAAATGTGCGTGGTAGTGGTGGTGTCATCTTGGGGATTTGAATCGAGTCTGTTTTCTTCCGTGACTTTGACTCCGACCGTTTCTAACCCTTAGACCCAGTGGAAAACATGCGGGAGTTGTCGGACTTCCACTCACAACATCTTGCAATCAAGGTCACTCTTCTCTGGCCCTATGGCTGGATTTAGGGCCCGCAACCCAAGACTCCGTCTCGAACATGAACTCTAAGCACCAATCCCTAAACCTCACACTCCAAACCCTGGGACCTACAGATTGCCGGTGGATCCCTCGTAGACGCCGAGGTGCATGCCCAGCAGTGCAGGCGACAGCTCTGCCAGCGGCACAGAACTAGCGCGGGCGAAATGACCTTTGACGAGAGCTTCTCAAGGACACTACCAAAGTTTCCAGCAGGGATACTACATGAGAGCTCCAGGCGGTTATCCCTACCTCGTCGCTCTACGACATTGTGTCGCAGGTTCATTACTTAGCCTTGTTTCTGGAACCCAAATGTCCTGCGCATTGAGGCTTCTTGGGAGCTTCAAGGCAAGGGCTCAAACGCTTCTGGGCTGATCCCTCTCTCCCTTTGTCTTCTCTAAAACCATGTACGCCTCCATGCACATGTACACAAATACAGAGGTACATTTAGGAGAGCTGTTCTCCAAATGTCTCCGTCTAAGGTTCTTCTGGCAATAGCCGTGCCCTCTTCTGGGCCTAATTTGGAACGCCCCCTCACAAGTATTCACAGCCCTGAACACTCCACAACTCGAAATCACAGTCGAATGCGTTTTGGGGCATGCAATCACACAGGGACTATATGGGGATTTTGGTACCACGTAGTTCTTCAGATCTCTACATCACCCTCAGCCCCAAATCCTCCATCACCCAAATCATGCCGCCCCACAAAGTCCGAGCATCTGCAGGTGCGCTGCAGCAGGCGAAGGTGTGAGAGGAGGCTCCTAGGCACCCGTTTTGCAAGTGGTTACGGTTTGGGGCGGAGGGCAGTGGTCGTCGAAAGCAGAACACTTGCTCATCGCGATCATCATCATTAGCGGCATCAGCCAGTCTAGGAGGTGGCAACGAATGGTTCAGAAGACTGGCATGACATGAATCATGCTTGGACAAATCACACGACCGCGTCATCTGGCAAAAGAAACCCACTTTCGAGATGCTCGGTGCATGGGCGTGACTTCACCTTTGAAGGCTAAGGGTCTGGCTGCCCATGATATTTAAGCTAAGGATTAGAGTTTCGCTTGCTGCAGCAGAACTAAGCCTGAAGTTTGAACGCTCTTGGAGGCCGAAATCATAGGTTTGCCGGTCCTTGTCAGCTCTGTCCGTGCGGAGCTGGACTGCGGCATTTTTGCCAGGTACCTCGCAATTGAGGCCATGTGGCATCAGGGCTTCTTGAGCCACATTCTATGCGGCAAGTAACTCCAAAAGCAGCGAGGCTTCTACCCGACACCCTGAACTCCAACACTGACTGAGGCGTTCTCTCCAGCAAATCGCGACTCTCGATTATGCACGGCTAAACAATGCCGCTGAAGGCTCAAGACCGTTGTTGCTGACAGCACACCCTCAACCTTCAACCTCTCAAGCACGTGCAGCGTGGCGTCGGCCGGTGCAAGAAGAGAAGCCGACGGAAAGGTGGCAAGAATAGAGACAAGAACCTCAGGGCTCTGAGGGCGTAGGCTTCTACCTTCAACCCCGAACCGAACCAACACTCTAAAGCCCTACACCCCAAACCCCTGTAGAAACCTAGGAAGAAGCACGAAACACTATAAAACCCGTACAGAACCCTGACTAAACTCCAGACTTTAGAACCCCGGATCTCCCTTTAAAATCCCTAAATACCGGACCCAACACCTTTCGGAAACCCTTCACCTAATCCCGGATCCTTACACCTCTCTCTCTCTCTCTCAGGCACTTAAACCCTGAAACCTAAGCCCATGAACCTTAAACCCTGATTCCTGGACCCTAATCCTTAAGCCCTATAAGCCCGGTGCCTGGATCCTCCGAAGAAAACCTGGGCCCCAGCGCCTCCGCGCGTAGGCCGTGGTCAGGCAGGGCACGCAGCCCATGAAGGCCTCAGAAGGCTTTTTCGGGCTTAACGTCCAGGTCTTTTTGGGTTTATAGGGGGTTTAGGTCCTTATAGGGTGTCGTAGGATTGTTGAGGGTTAGAGAGGTTCCCAGGTGGAACAAGGACGAGGCTTGGGGATAAGCACTAGCCGTGTACCCTCAACCCCCGACGCCTGAAACCCTCGAGCCTAGTCCCTGAACTCAAAACCCTTACCCTAAACCTTCAACCGAAGGCAAATGGCTAGTACGTCATCATCTTCGCTGGCAGGCAGAATGCCGCGGAAGCAGCACTCCTGGCAGAGCTCATGGGTCTTGACGGGTAAGGGGGCCAGGGGCCAGTCCACAGCAGTCTGAATACGATTATTGCTACTACTATTCCTGTTATCATTACTAGTTAGTATTGTTATTACTACGGTTAATGTTGCTACTATGTTTGCTGCTACTAGCATTTTTAGGTTTCGTATTTTCCAGATGCTAGACCACTGAACCCCTGAAGCAGCTGCTAGGAAGTCTGAGGTCGCAAACCTGTAGGTTTAGGGTTTAGGGTTTAGGGTAGCGTCTGCGAGGGGGTCAGAGTTAGACCATGAGAGAAGTCCATCGGGAAAGCTGAAGCCGTGTGCTGTCACCCGCTCCAGTCACCTGTCAGCCGCATCGCATCGCAGAAGCCTAAGACCCGAAGCGCACCAAAGCCGCAAATCCTACAGGCAGGCATACGGAACCTGACCCGGAGCTGCGCTCCACTTGAAGGTTCGGAAGTATGCATACCAACTCATGACTCTCGTAATTACCAGTTCCATCCCCTGGACCCATTCAATTGCCAGAAAAGCATCGATAATGGAGCCGGCTCAAGCAGTGGTAATGGCGCGACTCCCGAATTGAAATGTACCAAAATCCTTCGTGCTAGGTCCGCTCATCCTTCAAGCACCCGCCTCGCCCACACCGGAGTCGAGAAGATCCAGAAGCGAAGCGAAATGCCTCTACTACAGGGCCTTAATAAGTAGCCCTACATTATCTCTGTGGAGTTCTGATTTTGGGAGTGCAAGGTTCAGGCTTGAGGTCGTCGGGTTGAGGGCTTTATGATTCCTGGACGGGCTTTACGGCTCTAGTGCGATGGGCTTCGGGTGCTGGGCTTGCAGGGGTTGTTGGAGTTTCGTGCTTTGTGTACGCTTGATTTTGGGGCTGCGGACTTCGACTGCACTTAGCGGAAGGCTTGGGTTTCAAGAACGTCTTCAGACATCTTCAAAGTTCAGCTGAGTGCGCTTGCCGAAACAAAGGAGCAGATCTGTTAGAGAAGCCGAGAGTATTTGGAGTCTCATCTTGCGGAAACCAGTACGGAAATTAAGATTAAAAGATTCCCCAACACGCGGAAAGGGCAGGCAGCACGAGGTTTCGAAGTGCACTGAAGACGTTCTGAAAGAGAGTTTGGGTTCATCATTCTCAAAGGTTAAGGCATACTGTAAGTTTCTAGGGTTTGGGGTGGAAACTGGAATCATCATAGCGAATTAAGCCGTCGTTCAGCCCTTGACGTAACGTCCCGGCCAGTGGACACCTTCTATCTCAAGCCAGCAAGGCCGAGCAGCCACCGGAACATCAACCAAGTCCCGATGCTTAAGTGGGCTTTGCGCCTATACACCCCGCAGAGCGCGACCGAAAAGGGCCATAAAGGCTCTCTAACTTTCTCAAACTCTCCAGGTGCCTCAAGATCATCCCTGCTGCCTCCACGACCTCACAAGTCGGGCGGTCCAGCGCGGTCCACTGGTCTTTCTTGAGTTTCGGTATCTGCATGTACATGCAAACATGCATGCATGCGAGCGTAACATACGTACGTGGTTGCCTACATATCTCCATACTACATTACAGTTCTACATACGTACACACCTACATACTGCATGCCCACTTACATAGCTACACACCTACGTGCCGACATCCTTGCTAAACCCATGACCCTTCATACCTTCAAATAGCCTGCGGACAGAGTCCTATGATGTATGCTTACGATATCATCACGAACTGTAGACTTGTTGGGGTTGGTTCCAGGTCCCTGCCGACGGGGCCTGCTCCGGTGGCCGACTTGCCAGGAAGCTTTCGGCGAGGTGCACCAGCCGCAGAGCGACCTGCTGCAAGGAAGTTGCTTTCCTGGAGTTCAGGATGGGTTGAGTAATATAGGGGCCTTAATAATTAGAATAAGGTGTTGGGGCCCAATCTGCACAACTATAATAAGGAACCCCCCAAAACAGTGAAGGTAAGTGTTAAGGCCCATGTAGTATAGCTTTTTGGCTCGCATTCTCTTGTCCAAGGACCCGCATGTTGAATGTGGCTGGCAGATTTCACTCCAAATCCCCTTCAACCCACCCTGAACCCTTGGAGCTTGAGGCTTAGGACCGTTTTCCGCTGAGGACCTTAGCATTTAGGGCTAGGGTCGAGGGTGTGTTGTTGAGGGTTTGGGATTCTATGAGGGCGGCAGGGACTTTTGCAGGGCTTCCGGCCGAAGTTTAGGGATGGTGAGGCAACCTCGAGCTTTCCCCGTAATGGATTTAAGGGTCTCTTTCGGGATTCTAGATACTGGGGCTAATTTCATTCAGAATTACAGAACATGAATCAGGTTTCAGGTTGTAGTGCCCATAATCCAAACCCAAAATCCCACCTCATCGATTGGAATGGCCATGGCATTCCTCAAACGGCAGAAGCTGATACGAAAGGAGCGAAGCAGCACCGGAGGAGATCTGGAGACTGCGGGGCTCCCTCTTTAGCCACGAATTCTTTCAGCGCCCTTCATGCATGGGGGGCATGTTAGTAGTTTAGGGTTTAGGGTTAGCTTTTAATAGGGTTTCTCGGGCTCCCGTGTAGCTAGGCTTCTACATCACTAAAACAGAACTTTACGTGATCATGAACCAGCAGCTCGGCTCAAGAAGTCCCCCTTCACTTGAAGCCAAGTCTCAACGACGTGGCAAAGAGCTCTGCCGTAGGAAGAAGCTCCGGATGTAGCTTGGCCACGATCTCCCTCGCCTGAGGGGAAAGAAGACTTGGACACCCAGCCCAGTTTTCGAACTAAGACCACCAAAGCAAAATAAAACCAGACAATCCTGCAAATCCCCGACAAAACTCTCAAAAAAAACAATTCTGACACCTTCTGTATAAACTCCCAAACTCCATTCACCCTAAAACGACTCTGAACGAAAGGCCTGGGCCGCGCCCGGCGTGACGGTGCAGAGCCCGCGAGGTGGTTGGGCAGCCAGCGCCTCCAGGGTAGTATAGGAATCTGCTTAAGCAACTCTAGGTCTTCATTCGGGGTCTTTGTAAGACTCCGATAATTTTATTGTGGAAAAAATAGGGTTTCTTAATCAGGTTCCTGCATCACTTCATACAGCCGGCCCCAATAAATAGACGAGGTTGCGGGTCCTCATGGGTAGCTCATATGGGAGGCCTTCATATCTTGAGTAGGGTTTCGGCGCTACTATCTCGTAATGTTACTAATTGGCTGTTGGGCGTTTGGAGACCCCAATATCGGATTTAGGGTTTAAGGCATTTGGGCCTTGAGTGTAGGTTCTTTCGATCATTCTCGAAGCCAGAGCCCTGCCGAAGACCAGGCAAACACTGAAAGCCCTGAACACCATCCACGCTGTTCTTGCAGCCTTCGACCCTAGGCATGAACCGTCTTTTGAGGTTTGCATGCCAACGCCGAACACTGCAAAGGCACCGGAAACAGCGCTGCATGTGGGGACGTCGTCGCCACCCGCGCGAAAAGGCCTGCACGGCAAGCCCCCTCTGAAACTAAGGGGATTTGAGGCTTGGGGGTTTGTTGTTTGGGGCGTTGTGGTGTAAGTTTTTTCTGGTTTTTTGGATCGCGAGTCCTAGGCTTGAAGCTATGTTGGCTCATGTCGGGTTTTATGGTGATTTAGGACCTGGTTGTTGCCTCCCAAGTGGCTGGGACGAGACCCACACAGCAAGGTGGGTACAGTGCTGGAAAGACGGTGAGGGTTTCGGGTTTAGGGTTTTCGCGTTGAGGCTTCAGTTAGGGTAACGCAGGAACTCCGAGTCCTGCACCCACCGTCAGAATCCCTAAGCCCCAGCTGCCCCGAGGCAGCCCGAATCCCTAATATGACTACAAGGCCTCCGGAAGCCTTGGCCTCAACACTACACTGCCAGAATAATGAGGCAACATGCAAAATGCCACGCGGCCCATGAACCAGATTTTAGCGTTCAGGCCAGATAAGGGTTATGGGAAGCTTAGGGTTCAAGAATTCTGAAAGAGGCCCACCTGCTGCCGTTGCGCTCATGCCGGAGGCATCCTCCGCCGGACCTGCGAGCGAAACTTGTGACTTCGGTTCATGGCCGCTTTACCCAAAGCCTGCGATCGCTGACGAGGCCAAATTCAAGCCTGGAAACCTGACTGCCCTACAAAACCCGAGCTAGGCAGCTAGGCAGTCCACCTCTGATCCTGTATATGTATGTATGTATCCTCAAGACTCAAGACCATAAACCCGGACTTGCTAGGTTTAGGCCAAGGGTGAGTGCTTCGTATTTAGGATATTGGGGTCCATGGTCTAGGGATTATATAAGGATATATAAGGCGTCGAATCACGGGCCCAAGAGGCTGTTCATGTAGGCCAGGATCTGTGGTAGGATTGGCTCCAGCAGGCGCGTGTCCAGCCTCGGACAAGTATCATTTTCAACTTATAAACGGCCAAAGGCCTAAACCCTAGACACTGCTTAACCCTAATCGAACCTAAGCCCCCAAACCCACAACCCTACAAATAAACCCTGACCCCTAAACCTCAAAACCCTAAACCTTGATGCCCCTTCAAGAATCCAAGCAGCTGCGTCAGGATCGCCTCCCAGTCGCTCGCTGCAGCGCTGCGGCGCCGGGCCGCGAGGCGGAGGAGACGCAAAACTGTCCGCTGCCTTGGGGTTCTCTTAAGAGTTCCTTTAAGGGGGTTTGGGGTTCATTTAAGGGTTCCTTTAAGGGGGAGGGTTCCCTTAGGGGTGCCTTTGGTTTCAGGCTTCCTGCGAGGGTTCCTTCAAGGGCTCCTCCTCGTACGAGGGCTTTGAGCGGATTTGCCTTGTGGGCTTCGCCATGGCTTTGGGGTCCGTCTTTGGGGTTTGGACTTTGGACTTAGGGTTCATGGTTCCTCGCTTTCAAAAGCTCCCAAGCTGGGATGGGGCTAGGTGGAGGACCTGGCAAGGTCCGTGTGCAAGGGGATCTGCAATCACAGCTCTTGGCGGCCTTGACTCGCGTGCCTACGGATAGTTAAGGCTTCGGGCTGAGCAAGTTTAGAAGATAAGGAAGGCCCCTTAATTGGCAACCCACGAAGGCGTGATCCAAAGATTCTTATAACTTACCGTGATATACCAAAATACAACGAGATATATCTCATCCAACATAATGTACTGCAATATACTGTCTGGCACATGTGTAAATGCCAGCTCAAGACCACCCCCCCAAAGAAGCCTTTGAAAGACAGTCCCCGACAGGCCCGGCCCAGAATGGTTTTCGTGATTATTTATGCCGTCACATAGACTCCTTCAACCCTAAACCAACCTGAAAGGCCAAGATACACGCGAGGATGCGTCGGAGGCTCTGCCGTCAGGGAGAGGTGGCGAACGTAGGCGTGCCTTCTGGGTTCGAACGCGTCGAAGACATTCGTCTCAGAGGCTTCGAGCATTTGGAGGTGGGGTGTAGCGAGCTGAAGGCTTAGGTCAAGAGGTTGGATTGGAAATGATGTGAGGTTTGGGTGGAGACTGGTAATTGGAGTGACTACGGCTTACGACCTTGGGGTAGCAAGCTTCAGGGTTGCGGTGTTAAGGGGCGTAGGTCCGAAATCCCAAATGCAGTCCAAGGGCAAGGTGTCATGACTGGCTGACTCCTTCCACTCCTGCCGCCGCAGAGATTGATGGGATTCATATATATATATATATATATATATATATATATATATATATATATATATATATATATATATATATATATATATACATATATATATATATATGTAGATAGATATATATATATATGTAGATAGATATATATATATATACACACATCAGGTTCAATGCCAAGCCCTCCCTCCGTCTCGTGTCTGCTGCTCTTCACAGACCCTCTCTTCACAGACCCTCTCTCCCTCCCCTCCTCTGTGCAGCCATCCACATGTTCATGGCATGTACCTAACCATATATATATATGTATATATATATATGTATATATATATATATGTGTGTGTGTGAGTGTGTGTGTGTACATAAACATTCTCTATATGTATACACATATATGTATATACACGGACATACACGCTCGCTCTCTCTCTCTCTCTCTTCTCTCTCCGCTCAAACAGAAACACCCCAAGTCCTGAAACCATGCGGCCACCGCAGCCAGGGACGCGACCAGCTGTCCGGAGGCCTCTCCACTGCCGAGCTCCTGGCCCAAGGTAGCCAGGGTTAACTGGGTTGTAGTTTTGGGGTTCTGAAAAGTATTTATGAATAGGTACCTCTATAGGAACCATAAGGGAAATTAAAAAGTTTCCCAAATTGCCACCTAGTTAAGGGTTTAGGGCGCAGGGCTGATTGAAATTATTCACTCAATGGTTCCTCTAGAGGGTTCCTAGATTGCTATACGGGCTCCTACATGGGTTCCATGAGTTCAGGTTCACGGCTTATGGTTGAATGAGGTCGTCAGCCTTGCTCAAGGGCTTTTCGGATCCACCTCAACCCTAAAACGCCAGGGTTCTCGGATCCTTAACATGTAAAGCCCTAGCCCTAGCAAACGTCTGGGCTGGGTCGTCAGCTCTGAGTACTTTCCCAGAAGGTAATTGATCCCTAGTCGAACTCAGCTATGGTATTCCCGATGTGCATCTATGAAATAAGTGTGCCTTCCGGAAGCAGGGCTCACCGACCTAGACGCAAACCCTAAGGCCCCACTTACGGGCGGGGGGCTACTAGATTTCTTAACTATGCAGACCCCGAAATTCTCACCGCTCAGGAGGAGGATGGCTGCAGTGTACAGCAGGCAGCACTAAAGAACAAGGGGTCGTCGGCGAGGACGGGACATGGGCTCCCAACAAAAACCTTGACTCCCAAAAACCCTAAACCCTACTCCCGAGCTGCTCCCAGGTGCCCTGAAGAACGTCGGGGCTCCTTCCAAAGCTTGCACTGTGAGACCTTGGAGTGCTTCTGCAGCCATGGCACCTGGAATGCTACTGCGACGGCGTAGTAACAATAGTGATATTTAAAAAAATAGTAGTCATGGCAATAATGGGAACAGGGTTCGGGGTTTCGATGTCGGGGTTCAGGGCCTACGGCTTAGGGTGGCGTCGAGGAGCGAGAATCATTCAAGACTGATCACATCGTGAACGTGTGTGGCCCTGCAAGCGCCACATTCTGCCACAAACTTCTCCCAGCTTCGGAAGCTTCACGTGGGGGCCAGGCAGGAGTGCAGAAACTAGGCCCTGAGAACTTTGCTTTGGTCGAAAGCTTCAAGGATTAATATCGAATTTAAGGTTGTAGGGCTTAGGATTGCATAGGATTGGGATACCTCCGACACAAGCCAGGCACCGACATTGCCGGCTGCTTGCCGGCCTCCGCGCCACGTTGCTGCTTGACCTAGTACAAGCAAGGCCGGGTTTCAGCACTCACTCTCGGACAAGGAAGCCGGGTTTAGGTTCTATCGAATTCAAGCCTTCGTCCGAGACCATGCAGTGGCCACAAAATATTACCAATACTGTTTTGGGGGTCTGCCTTTATATATAGATACGTAGCACAATATGGCCAGAAGCACCACTCCGATAATTATATTTAATATTCAAGCCCAGTATTACACCGCAAGCCGCCTACTCCAGCATCCAACCCCATCCAAACCCCATGCGAGCGGGCAAGGATTGGATAAAGTCGAAAGTATTGGTCCCTTTGCATGCAGCCTATACACTTTTGCACCCACGAGTCTGCATCCGCATTACAGCGTCTTCGGGGCACTCTGAGACCCTGAAGCCCAAGACCAAACCTATGGCGCCAAGATTCCCATCGACGGATGGCTTGCCGTGCGCTGCGGCAAAGACCGTGAAGGTCTGCACTCTTGCCGCCAGGCTCCTTGAGGGTTCAGGGCTTGTCCATAGAGGTATATCACGTTTCCGACCCATGTAAATCAAGAACACCTTCAAATCATAGTACGGACCCCTTCAGGCCAGAATGAGAGCCTCTCGCTTTCAGCCAACGCGCATATTTCACAGCATGAACCCCTGCCGGAACCCCTGCATCAGTTGAGGTTGTCGAATGCGCCTCAGATTGCTAGCTCCGCCAGGGGTTTGGAGTTTAGTGGGGGCTATAAACCATAAACCCCGCCAAGCCTACAAAGCCTGGGCATCCCATACCTTCTACCTGCAAGAGCTGAAACTGAATCCCACACCCTAAAGCCTCGCAAACCGTATAGAGGCCCTAAGACCAAAGCTGCCGGACCATTTCCGGTGCATTTTTAGCCCGTCCCGGCAAAAGGGCTCAGGGGTTGAAGAGCTTAAGAGCTCAAGCGTGTCGGGGCAGAGGTGCAAAGCCCGAGAGTTGAAAGCCCGCCTGGCAGCCCTCAGAACCTACCAAATAATTTCTCTGACGCCGTAAACTCACCCATACACCACCCTGCATCCGAAACCATACGCAAAACCCATCAAACCCTAAACGGACCTATAACCTCATCGCCCTGAAACAGCTGTGTGATTTTCGCTCCAGGAGGTGGCCCACCGCCCGGGAGACAGCGGATTCCACATATCCGGCATCCAAGGCCCTGTGCGACTCATCGACTCAAGGCTTCAGGGCTTTACTTGATTAATTCTTTATTTGGGGCTTAATTATTTCAAGATTAGTTATAGAATTATCATTATTAATATTATAGAATTCTTTCGGCGACCTAAAGACTCAGGCACCGTTAAGGCTTTTGGACTTTTGAAGTTTGGGGTACCTAAGGCTGCAGGAGGGACCTCCAGGGCTGGAGGACGTCAGGGGGAGAACCGCGCTGAAAGCCCTGCACCCCTAAGCCGCGAGAGGGTAGAAATGCCAAACGCACATCCGAAACACCTCAAGCTTCCAGGCTTCGCACAACAAAGCCCAAAGCCCAGAATGAGGGGAATCGTCCCATGAAGCTGGCACGCTTTCGAAGCGACTGGCACGGCCCTTGTGCGAGGATGACGCCCGCAACTCGAGAAATGCACAACGAGCCTCTCCCAACCCCTGAACCCTGGATGGTTGGTTTGTTTTGGCGTGGTGTGCAGTATTCAAACACCCTTGAATGACCACCCACCCAATCTTGCCGATCTTGCCACATCTGGCCACCGACCCAAGCCCGGAAACCCGACATACCCCGAGAACCCCCAAGCTTTGGATAACGGGCTTGAGATTTGTGATTCTAAACCTCAAAGCGGGTTTAACGAACCCTATCGAACCTCGCACAGACCCCAAAACCCACAATCTATAGCTCTCCTTGCCGCCACCGAAAATCCGAACATCTTACAACCCGTCGCCACAACATAATACACCCACAAGCACCAAAGCTCCGAAGTGCAAGGCGCCGTGATTGCACGTAGAGCCAATCGCCGAATTGGCCCCAGAGCCTCAAGGGGCTCCAGGCTTCCGGAAACAGCTTCTGCAGTAGGGTTTAGGTTAGAAGCTGCCCCCACCCTGTAATAGTGGTATAATGGGAATATGATAGGGCCCTAGTATAATCCTAAATAATCCTTATAGTCACTATTACAGGGTGGGGGCAGCTTCCAAGGTTTAGGGTTAAACGGTTTAGGGGTTTGGGGTTTAGGGTTTACAGTTTATACAGTAGGGTTCCATGATATAGGGGCCTCAATTATTACCAATGCTATTTCGGGGGTTCCTTTTTATAAGTTTTGGAAATGTAGGGCTTTTTTGGGATTAGGTGGTTTTGTTAGCGTCCCTTTTCCAGGCTTCGGGTTTTTTTGCCTCCTGCTTGGCTGAGTACACGTGGCAGGGCTTAGGGTTTAGGGTTTAGGATTTGGGGGAAGTTAGGGTTTAGGCCTTAAGGTTGAGGTTTTCGGATGGAGGGTTTGGGGGTTCGGGTTAGGGTTCACAACTAATGGATTCAACTGATTTCGCGGCTTTCCTGTAAAGGGTCCCCTATCTCCGAGGGTAAAGATACCGCTTGCCATCAGGGGTTAGCATGGGGGCCTTCGTTTTTAACTAGGATTGTGGACTATATCACGGTAAAAAAGTATATAGCGACTAAGGGGGTGCTGTCAATGATTCTTCCGGCATCTATATTGCTACTCCGTCTTTGGGGCTCGGGGATTCAGATTTAGCAGGGTTCTGCGTAGCTTAGGAAAAAGCGGGTGAACCAAGGATCAGTGATTCTAGTGCTTTTGTGATTAGGCTTCTTGTTCTTCTCTTGCCGACTGCCATTGCTGCGTCTGCTCCTCGACAACGATGGTAGTCCAGCATTTGCTGTGCAACAGCAGCCGAAACACAGTCTGAAGCAAGCTTCCTGCAGCTGCTCCTGCTACCTTATGCCCGCCTGTCCTCGAGCAGCTGTTGTGCTGCTTACTCAGCATGTGATGTCGAAACTCGTCGCGACATGGGGATGAATACGGGGCAGTGTTCAGTGCGCCGGCGCTTGTACTTACAGGCTGGCAGGCTCCCCTGCATAACTTTTTTGACCCCTTACACTACATCCTTAAAGGTTACAGCAACCTATGTCAATCCTACCAACCCCATATAAGCGCTACCAAGCCCAATATAGACCCCAACCTGCATAGTAAACCCTATGTGAACGCTGGAAGACCCCAGTCAGCCCTACCAATCCAAGAAACTTCGGGTCGTCCGGGCAAAGCTCGCAGCTCTGCTGGTGAAGCTGTCCGAGGAAGAAAGGATTCCTCCGTTTCAAGAATTTTTTTAGGGATTTTTGACTCTAAGGTTTAGGGTTTAGGGAAACGTTATTATAAAGCGCTTAGATTTAGGGCTCCTAAACGGGCGTCTTTGAGGGTTCCTTGAGGGCTTCTGCAAGAGCTCTATATGGGTTATAGGGTTTAGGGTGCTAGTTAATATGAAGCACAAGGCAATCCGGCTCCAGCCGTTCTTAACCCATCTTCCAAACTTTATGCTTAGTTTCTACAATTTTCTCTCCTTTCCGGGCTCCGCAAGAGTTCCACAAGAGTTCCTACAGCCTTCTGGGGCTTGCGCAGATAAGCAAAAGCGGGGGTGGGGCCTGGGGCTTGAGTTCCTGGACCCCAAAAGATTATTTTACCTACTTTTGGGGGGTCTAGGTATACCCTAAAGACTTAATTGAAGCCTTGATCCCGAAATCGGAGCCTGGGGGGGTCCTAGGTTTCTCCAGGGCGCAGACGCGGAGTCGTGACCGTCCCTGGCAGCAGCTCCGGCATGTCCGTTTCCGCAGAGAGGCGGAGGCTGCCTTCTCAGAAAGCCCGGTATGGCCACACGCAGAGACTCAAATTTCTGGGGGGGATCCTCAATATGGTTTATCAAGATATTTAAGCTCTGCTCTAAGTGGCATCCCTGGGTCCAACTGAAAGGATCTAGAAGAGTTGAGGGTTTCTCGCTCGTTGCTCTCCGCAGCCGTAGGCTCCGCATGCACCTAATTAGAAAAACCCCGGATGGACGCCATCCGGCGGGTGCCCTGTTCCTTTGGAAACAGGTGTCAGCTGTACCCTCCGTGGCTGGACACCAGCCAGCAGGCTTTTGGAGTCGCGTTGGCTTCTGGAGAGGCCCGCTCAGGTAGACAGGTCCCCCTCTTCGTCTCGAGTCAGCCTCAGCGAGGGAGCCATTCTACGATGCTCCCCTGACTGCGCCACGCCTTGCTGGCTAAGGAACCCAGCAAACCGCCCCGCTTGGGAGGCAAAGTGCTCAAAGAGAGCCTGTAGCCTTTCTGTGGTGCGCGCCTTTAACTGTCGTAGCAGCTCCGGCTCACGTTGGGCCAGAAGCCGTTCAAGGCCGCTGCCGCCACCCCACTGGGGGTATGGCAAGCTTGACCAGCTCCCCAAGTCGTAGAAACGGACACTGTGATCCTCATTCAAGCCCAAGTTGGAGATCGTGATGTCTGCCACCCTGACCCTGCAGGCTCCCAGCCAGGTAACCACGGCCAGCAGGTAGCTGAACCATTCCCTGACTATCGCCGGCGTTTGGGCATTTAGCCAAGGCTCGGCTTTTCTGTTCACTTTCTCCTGAACCAGACAGTGGAGCACAGCATACTCTGCACGGGCACCCTGCCCAATACGAACATTGAGAGGCCCCGCGTGCACCACAATAGCACACAGTTTGGTGAACCGGGTACTGTAGTACTCCTCAGACCCATGGTCGTAGGCAAAAGTTGTGACTTTGAGCACATAGGAGCCAAAGGAATACGCAATCCTCTGGTTGCCCTTGCCTTCCATTCGCATGTGTGCCGGTCGTGGTAGGAGCGCTCCCGAAAGTGGGCTTCTGTAGAGGACCAAAACGGACCCCATAAGGTGGTGCATCAATCGCACGTTTCTCCTATTGGCCTCGCGTTCCACTGCTGCATGGAAACTCGGGCCCTCGTCCACCCAGCCAGAGGACGCCTCCGGCCGGGGACCTTCCGTGTGACTGTCGTAGGGCCTTTGCGTCTCGACCTCGTTGCTCTCTTCTTCCTCGCCAGCGGCGTCTCTACGGACTGCAGAAGCCGACCGCAGCAGTTGAGGGTTTCGGCGCTCACACTCGGACAAACCAGGCGAGGCATATAGGTTGAGGGTTTAGGGTTCGGGGTTTGGGGTCCAGGGATCTGTGAAGGTTCCTTCCATGATTTCTTTTGGAGAACTCCCTATTTCCGGAGTATCCTGCTATCTCAGTTTACAGAACAAGGCCAAAGCTGAGGCCAGCTCTTGAGAAGACACGACATCTGCGTGAGTATCCTTCTCTACATTTGGCCTGGGACTGCCTGGGTTCTTGCTTTCTGCACGGCCCTTTTCCACCTGGGTGTTTACGCTCTCGCAACTCGGACACAGCCAGACGAGGTAGGTGGTGTTTAGGATTTAGGGTTCAAGGTTGAGGCGCTGGATTTACGGTTCCCAACTCAGGAGCTTTTTTTTCATTCGCGGCTCTACATGAGAGAATCATACCGGATTTTGTGTTTAGCACTCTGTGGTCCAGGGTTTAGCATTGTGCGGGTATGGATGAACTTTATCGGTTCTGAACAGGGTACATGGGCTGCAGCGCTTTAGGGCTTCAGGATTTGGTGCTCGGTGGCGCATAAGCTCTGGGCAAGTCTAGGTTTGACCTGGCTCCAAACCCTAGGCTCCAAACCGTCATTTCAGGACCTATGTAGACGTTAAGACCTGTTGACAGAATAAGTAGGCCTTGTGAGCTGGGTTGACTACGAGGATTACTAACAAGCTTATCGGTGGATACCAATTGGACATACTGATGCACACGAGCCTCCAAGTAACTTAGGGGTCTGAATACCCTCACTGAATGATATTACCTCCTGCCAATTTCTACATGGGTATAGCGTGCGATCCCCCTAATCCCTGCCCCCGAACCAAGAGAGCCTCCAAGTAGCCCCCTACGTAACAAATTCTTTCGGACGGAGCTGCTCTGCCACTGCTGCACGGCCGTGGGGCAAAAGAGCCGAGATCGGCTCTGCTCGCCGACCTCTCGCGAGTTCCGGGGCGGAGATACAGAGGAGAGATATGTGTTGCAGACAAGCATACATAGATACATAGATGCCGACCTACATACCCACTACCTACCTACCTACCTACCTACCTATCTGCCTACCTACATACATACTTACCTCCCTACCTAGCACCTGCCCGCTTGCTCGCCTGGCGACCTACGTATCCCAGCACTGCTTGCAGACATACATACATACGTACAAACCCTCTCAGTTGCAAGCAGGGTACCTGCTTGCATATTGACAGCATGCCATGTAAGGGGAATGCTCATGTCCCAAATCCTGACCCCGAAGCCCTAACTAAACCGCCTATAAACCCTAAACAAGGCCAGGATTCAGGGGTTTCCGACAATGGGGGGACCCTAATATCGCAGCCTGAATAGTAGGATCCCTGAAAAGGCCACGCAAAATCAGGAACCCCTGATTTTCCGAAACTCCCATTTAGGGTTTAGGGTTTAGGGTTTAGGGTTTAGGGTTTAGGGCTTAGGGTTTAGGGTTTAGGGTTTAGGTTTTAGGTTTTAGGGTTTAGGGTTTAGGGTTTAGGGCTTAGGGTTTAGGGTTTAGGGTTTTAGGTTTTAGGGTTTAGGGTTTAGGGTTTAGGGTTTAGGGTTTAGGGTTTAGGGTTTAGGGTTTAGGGTTTAGGGTTTTTTAGGGTTTAGGGTTTAGGGTTTAGGGTTTAGGGTTTAGGGTTTAGGGTTTAGGGCTTAGGGCTTGGGGCTTAGGGTTTAGGGTTCAACTGCAAAAGGCCCTTTGCCTGCAGCTGCTCCCGCAGGCTCTGAAGCGACGTGCGCCTAGGCACTTAAGGCCTTTAAGGTTTGTGGTACTTGTGGTATATTGAATGCTCCGGACATCTGGCAGCTGTGTTCCATAGCAGTACTTGCATATACATATATATATATATATGTGTGTGTGTGTGTGTGACAGTGCGCTGAGACATACGCTTAGAGCCACTTTGCCGAGCAGGGCATGTATTCAGACATGTGTACATGTTTTTTGGCAGGGACAGTGAGTCTAGTACCGGCAGGCAAGTAGACGGCGTGATAGAAAGCCGTCACACTTCTGTGCGCAACTAACCCAGCGCCCGGAACCCCAGATGCCAAGAATCTTGAGCCCTTCACCTCCGACACTAAGCCCTCAAATGCTTAGGACGTTAGGGTGCAAGGCTGGTCCACTATGATAGAGAGGTACTGGAAAGGATTGCTGTTAGGGTTCCAGGAAGCGTTTGGGGTTTAGGGCTTTCGAGGATTTGGGTCGTTCTGCATATTAGGGTTTTTTTAAATCCCAAACATGATATGACACCCTTCTAGAAATGATCCTGAAAGGGACCCTAATCTGCTGAACTACCCATATGGGGGTTTCAGAAAATTAGGGACCCTAAAATACTAGGATCCTTATTATAAGGACCCCAAAATAAGGTACCCCCTAGTTTTCGGAAACTCCCATATAGGGTTGGTAAGCTAGGGTGTCAACTGTCGGGCTTTAGGTCTGAGGTTGCCATAAGGGCTACTACAAAGGTATACGGTACAGAGTGCTGCAAAAGGTACCACTCAAAAGGGCACTACAGGGAGGGGAGAGTAGGGATTTTGGAGTTCGGGTTTAAGTACTGAGGGTCAGTATGTGAAGATGTGTAATTCTGAGCCTTTTTGCAACTCTGCAACCCTTAAGCCATTATACCTTAAAATAACCCCTCAAACGCTTTTCTGCAAAGACTTGTATATGCCCTTAAGCCCTAAACCACGAAAGAAACCCCCAGGGAAGCCGCCTGTTTTCCAGGGGCGCCCCAGCGATCTCCCCGCTGCAGACACGGAAGAGCTCGGAAGTCAGGATGCCCACCTGGAGGTTGATCAACATTATGGGTCCTTTTGGTCCCCTAAACTATCTAGACTATATGTATTGACTATAAAATCCCCATCTCTTTTAAGGCTTCTTAAAAGTATTTCTACGCTTCTTTAACCTCTTCTCTGAAACCTCTTTTGAAGGCTCTTCAGGGATTTTCAAGGCGCTTTAACCTCTTTGTAGGGCTCTTTGAGGGCTTAGGGTACAGGGGGTTCAAGGGTCTTGCGTTTAGGGTTTTGGGGCTCAGGGTTGAAGGCTTAGGGCATATTATCCTTAAGAGCTTAGGGTTCAGGGTCTAATTATCTCTTCGTCACAGCTGAAATTCTGCAGGGTTTTGGTAGTTGAACAGGATGGTCTTTGAAAAAACCTATGCACTACGATGGGTATGGGGTTTAGGGTTTCGGCTTTAGGGCTTGGGGACTTCAAGTGGATTCCGTGGCCGCCTCAGCCCCGGCGCCGGGCTCCGCGCCCCGAAGCCGATCCAAGGCGGAGGCCACAGCCCCGTCCAGAACGCAGAGGCCTTCCGCCTCGGCTCTGGGGGGGGGGGGGGTTAGGTTTCAGGGCCTTTGAGGGCTTGAGGTTCCGGGTTTGGGGGTTTTGAAGGTTTAGGGTTGAGTTTAGGGTTTTTTGCTTCCAGGGTTTATATAGGCAGTTCAGGGTGCCTCTAAGGGGCATTTCAAAAAGGGTTTTGGGTTTTGGTGCCTTTAAGGGGATCGGGGTTCTAGAAGAAGGGCTTAGGGATCTGCTCGATAAGCGGGCTTGCAAAGCGGGGGTTTACGCCTACGTTGCTTGGGCTCGTTGTAAGGCATTTACAGGGTTCTGAGGAACCGTGCACCCGAAATCCGCAAACCGACCCCAAATCCTAAACCCCAAGCCCCAAACCCAAAACCCTGAACCCTA